AATCTCAGTCTCCTCTCGCAAGACATTAATTCATTTCCATCATTAGCAACTGTCTCGTCCCCTCAGCATCCCGACTCTTTCTCCAGCTCCTGTCAGCTCTCCGGCACGGAGTTGTGTGAGTTTGTGGGTGGTCCACAGGTAGAAAGTAATGGAATGAAAATGTGCTGATCTGTCGCAGCGGAGCAGACTGTGTGTGTCTATGTGTGTGCATGTGAGTGCATGTGAGTGCACCAGGCTGTAGTTAATCCGCTGCAGGGTTTTCTGGGCTTGTGCCACAGCAGTAGGAACATTTCTCCTGGGCTCTCTTCTCATTGCTCTGGGCAGTGTCCCCTGTCTGAAGGGCGCAGGGCAGGCGACGGCACTGGCACCGACACACCGAAGGCCCGGTTTAATACCATCAGAGGCGGTTGGCCGGGCATGGGCGCCATGGTGTGACATCTTAGGCAGGGACTCAAACAACCCTGGAGCGAATTACCCAGAGCCTCACCCTCTCCCTCCATTTCTTTTCATTTTCTGTTCTTTATTTTTCTTTTGTTGCCTGTTTCACTCTCTGATAGCCTCACTGTCTGCTGCTGCTCTAACCCATGAATCATCTGAGTCACTGTGTTTCTCTCTCTGTGGACTCCCATCCTCTGATAACTCTATTCTTCCTGTTCATTTAGTACTCCTCCATTTTCTCCTCGTGTCACCTCATTTGTCCTCCTTTTTTGTCTCCATCTCCCTTTCTAATTTGACTGCCCCTTCCTCTTCTCCCAATTCTATATGTTAACTCTTTTTTACCCTTACCCCTATACTCTGTTTATCCCTCTTCCTCTCTACATCCATGCATGCTTTTTTGCAGACATGTACCTGCAATGAAACGTAAACTGGCTGCACACCAAGCCTGCCTGCACACTCATATTGTTATCGCTCAAAAACCTGATGTGCCTTTTAGAGAGCGAGAAGCACTTGTACAGAGTAAGAGGGCTTAGCTTTATTGAAATGCTGAATCACAGCAGTTGCAGCAGTGTCTGCATATGACTCTAAAACTGGGTTTCAGAAAAAACCTGCTTCTGCCAATCTGTTAACGCCAGAGCAGAACTCCTGTCTCCACTTAAGTTCCAGCATCTTTATTATAGGGTGTTTGTTTACTGACAAGAAAATATGTGTGTCAGTGTGTTTGGTGTCAAGGGCATGGATCAGTTTGGTGTAAGCATTAAAGATAAGGATAAATAGAGAAAAAGGAGAGATAGAAGGTGATAAAGTGAGAGATGACAACCAGAGAGAGGAGTTTTTATTATCAGGCTTTACAGTATAAGCTTGTGGGTGATGAGAGGTGATACTGCGCTGTAAGGTGGTTGAATTTACACGCTGCCATCTTAAAAGGATGTTACATTGAGACGTTTTACATTAAGCATAACACTTAGAACAATTTACTCAGTCAGAACCAGTCCTTAAATCTTTTTAATACCCTTTTTTATGATTTTAAATTAAATATATATGCTGCTAGCAATCTGAAACAAGGTTCTTGGGAATGCTAAAATGTTGACTTTGCATTGACCCTAGTCTTTTTGATCCAGGAGAGAACATTAAGCTTGAAATGAAGTGCAGGCAGTGTAGAGGAATATATTTACATGTAAATGGTTGTGTTGTGTTTAATCCTTTAAAATAGTTTTTTAATCCAATATCAGGGGGGCATGCACCACACAGGGAGACAGCCCATTCCATATTCAGTGGGTGTGCGCTCTTCAGTATACCTTTTTGTTTTAGTTAAGCTTAATGACCTGCGACAGCACACATGAACTGTACTTCAGAGCGGTTATTTGCAGGTGTATTTCACCCTAACATGATGAGGATAGATTTCACACAGATATTAATGCAAATAAGGGGGAAGTGCTTTGTTCCCAAGGATCTGTTTAATGGGTCATGTGGGTAAACATATGGAGCTGTCAGGATTGAACTTGTCCCGTGAGGCTGCCCCTACAGACAGTATCAGTGTCACTCTCAAGATTTGCACTATTTGTTTACCTCAAATAGATCATGCAAAAGCCACATATAACCTTTTAGAGCAACCTGGGCTTAAAAAGACTGCTGTGCTACCAACCTGTGGCTTTCAGATTTGAATGGTAATCCATTTGGTATCTGTTGAAATATTTCAGTGTCGACCAAAGTGACGGGCCAACCTACACCCATCTTTCCATCCATAGAGCCAGCATGGCTTAACAAATGTGTCAAGAGCAAATGTATTTATGTTTTTTCAGGAGTTTAAATGTAAATGTGTTTGTATAGCTATCATACACACTTGGTGCTGCAGTTCCACAGATGTAAGACTTCTGGATGCCAGCTGCATGCTCAAGCTCCTCTCTCATTGTTCACCTCCCAATAATAAAGCATATGGCAGGGAGAATTATCCCACCACACTGCCAAGGTTAAACACACAGAACACTACCATCTCACATTCAAGGTCTTTCTCCCCTTATCTCTCTTCTCTTACTTTAGGTCAAAAAGTGTTTCTTTTGGCAAGACAGATTCCAATTATTATTAGAGATAATATATCAAAGAAGCTGAATATAAAATCCTAGTCAAACCTAAAGAAGACTTCAAATGAATCAGTTATCAGTCTGCACTCGTTGCCCTTCACATTTCAGCAAGCTCTTCAACTTCTTTTATCCCTTTTTTAAAGCCAGGATCATTTTTGAGCCGCTCTCTCTTTGGGTGCTTTAATATGTCCCACATTGCCCGAACATGACCTTTCCTCACGGAAAAACCTGGTGGTGTTCAGGAGATATAGGGGTAATTTCACTTAAAGCCAGAATGTTTCTTTATCTAAGGGGTACATGCTTTCTCTTCGATGGTGCAGTCTGTCTCTCTGATTCTCTTTCACTCTCTTTCTGCCTAAGTATTCTTATTTCCCCTGTGCACGCTCTTTTATCATCCTGTCACTCCCTCTCTCAGACATCAATGCTCTCTTGTCCATCCTTTGCCTCCTCAGTTCATCTGTCTCTCAGATTTTTGGGAATTTCCTCTCCTGCCTTTTTCCATCTCCATCACTGCAGCTCGTCTGTGAATGTCAATCTCTCATATCCACCTTCATCTGTCCTCATCTCTCTCCATGACCTTTATTGCTCCTTCCTTCCTTCCTTCCTTCCTTCCTTCCTTCCTTCCTTCCTTCCTTCCTTCCTTCCTTCCTTCCTTCCTTCCTTCCTTCCTTCCTTCCTTCCTTCCTTTCTTCCTTCTTTCCTTCCTTCCTTCCTTCCTTCCTTCCTTCCTTCCTTCTTCCTTCCTTCCTTCCTTCCTTCCTTCCCTGAAGTGACTGGCCAGGTGCTAATGTGTTGTAGAGAGCACACAGTGGCTGAGAGAGGGTATTTAGTGCCAATAGTAGCAGGACGTCCCGGACAGTGCAAGTACTGGTGTTAGCATTCTTCGTGTGTGTGTGTGTGTGTGTGGTGTGTGTGTGTGTGTGTGTGTGTGTGTGTGGTGTGTGTGTGTGGTGTGTGTGTGTGTGTGTGTGTGTGTGTGTGTGTGTGTGTGGTGTGTGTGTGTGTGTGTGTGTGTGTGTGTGTGTGTGTGTGTGTGTGTGTGTCTGAAGTGTGTGTAGAAAGAACAGTGCTTGGGTTTGTATGTCTTTTAATGTAATATTTTCTTTTATATGGTTTTATTGCTATACTTGATATTTTGTTGATGTGGTCTGAATGAATGTGTGACTGTGTGTCTGTGTGTGCAAGGGCTGTTGATCACACTCAATGATTGATGACAGGGAGGTCATGGATAGAGCTCACGCAGGCTCACACAGAGGACAGAATAAAAACGAGCCGTGGCAGCATCACGCTACATTAACGGCCACAGCTTTGTGTGTCTTAAACAGTGACATTTATTTATCCACCCTCATTTCTTGTCTTTATCATGTGGCAAGATATTAGTCAAACCCCATGCAACTTCCTTTCAGCGTAGAACATTTGCCTTTTTAAAAGCATAAATAACTCTGACAATATTCATGCATTTTTTTGAACTTTTGTTCTCATCATTGGTCGATTTCACCGTTCCAAACACACTAAAATGTTAATGACAGAAGCTAGCATTGCGTATTGACTAACATAAATCCGGCTTTAGGCTTTAATCAATAGATGTGATGTGACATGATGCCTTATTGATCTATTTAGGGAGAGATTTCCTCTTCACCCAATTCAAAGAGGTCAGAGCACTGAGATAGGCGGTGAGGGACTTGCTGAGTGACACTACTGCAGGGTGGGTGTGGCGAAACCCTGTGGGCGTCATCGAGCTAAATGTCTGATATACTCACCCCCAAAATCTTGCTTGTATGAGACATCATCATAAATGTCACAAGTCTCTTAGGTTGTATGCATAGCTGCTGGAATGTGTAGGTGTGTGTCTGCCTGAGAAACAGAAAGCCGGGATGACGATTATATCGCCGTCCAAGCGTGCCCAAAGAACATATTCACTTTGCATATTCTTGCACCCCTTTATTCGGCCCCAGCGTTCGGCCAAACTCCGCACTACAGACGTGACAGCAGCATGCACGTTCATGTCTGCTAGTGCTGCGTGGCTCTCTCACCTCCTCCTCCCCTTCCTTTTGGGTGCAGAGAGCATGGGAGCGCATGGCCGGATGAGATGTGAAGAGACGGCTGACTCTTGTTGTGAAGAAGAGGCTCCTACTAGTACTCCACATTATGTTTCTCTACTCTACAGTTTCCTGTTGGTTCATGGGTTTATTTGTGGTTATGGGATTGTTATTATAAGGGCCGTTATTTAGCACAGTGTTGTCAGCTTTGTTGTGCAGATAATGCATTTGTTTGGAGTGTAACAACTCTTCTTTACTGTGCACACTCTGTTCATAAACTTGTAAAGTGAGCAGCATCACTCACTGATATCATCAAAGAGAAACTTAAACTTGATTTAACATCCAGAATCACACCACTCTGCGAGCAAGTGGGCTATTATTATCTTGATTTCAACCAACAACAATTTGATTCTGATTCAAACTCATTGCGCTCCTTTTCTAGGTTTTCAACACCTACTCCAACGAGGATTATGACCGTCGTAACGAGGAGGTGGATCCTGTGGCCTCCTCCGCAGAGTACGAGCTGGAGAAGAGGGTGGAGAAACTGGAGCTCTTCCCTGTGGAGCTGGAGAAAGGTGGGAAAGAAAATCTTAAGAACATCGTAATGCGGAGGTGGATCCTGTCAGTTACCCAATATACCCAGTAGACCAAACCACCCACATATGGGATGTCATTTTTATTCTAAGGTGTGATTTCTTTTTTTCCCCGTCTTTCTGCTCTAGTCTTATCAGTATTTTGTATCTCCTTTTTCTCCCATTATGACTTTACATTTAGAATAGTAACCATTAATGACAAGAGGGATTCAAGTTTATTCAATATATTAGTATATTACAACCGTTACATACCAATTGTGAAAAAAAGAATACTTATTCAGTGATAAGATACATTTTGTCAATCATTGCCCGTGAACACTTGTTACAATTTCCCCTTTAGTGGATAATATAGTGGACAAATATTTGCCACAGTTAGGGGCCAGACAGGGTTCATGCTTTATTTTATGGCGACACTTCCTCTATTTCGACATCACTGCATTAAGAGATATTGCAGTGTACTGTGTGCCCTAACTCCCCAGTGTGAGCTTCCTCCCTGTCTCTTTCTCTTGAGGTTTTCCTGTGTTGAAATGTAATAATACCAAGGACTTGAAATAGAATGACTTTACTTCATAGTATTTCACCATCCAACCACTGTTACGTAACCCTAACAGCTCATGAATGCAGGATGGAGATGCTACACTGGAAAGGGAATTTCCCACCCAGAACATTACCTTTCAATGTAAAGGCCACCTTGCCTATAGTAAAATACTCTTCTCCATAAATAAATAAAAGGTTCTTTAGTTGATTGTGTTAATCCATTCATGTTTCCAATAATCCCTCAGTCCACCTCACATCAGTTTACTAGAAGCCATTATGGGTTTGTTCTGAGTTCATTGTAAAGTTACTAATTGGATGTCCTTAACCCATCACTCTTAAAGGTCACCTCTTGTGCAAAATCCACTTTTTCATGTATTTTATACATAAACATGTGTCCCCTCTGTGTAAAGAGATTCTGAACGTTTCAGGAAAAAAGATTTGCTCACTTTTTGTCCTGATCCATTTATATAAAAACCTGTCTGAAAATGAGCTGATCAGATTTTGGCCACTTTATGATGTCATAATGTTTTTTTGGGTTGTCTAACCAATAGCCAATCACCAACCAAGGCTCACCTTATCACCTGAATCTCATCCTAGAGCAGTTTTTTAACCAAATATCTCTCAGAGGGGCGTTGGGAGTGGCTTCTTATTTTCATCTAAAGTAACAGACAGAGAATCAGAACTTTTGAAACAGGGCTGAAACAGAGGGGATTATGGGATGCTACAATGGGTGATCTGTTTAGTATTTCGAGCCAAACACTTCAGAGACATGTTTTGTATATATCTGAGACCTATAATATATTGATGAAAAACAGTATAATAGGGGACCTTTAAAGAGTCCCAGACATACACACTGTAACTCTGTGAAGTATGTTTTTCAGATGAAGACGGTCTGGGGATCAGCATCATCGGGATGGGTGTCGGCGCTGACGCAGGCCTGGAAAAACTGGGCATCTTCGTCAAGACCGTCATCGAGGGCGGAGCTGCTGAGACGGACAGCAGGTGAGATCTGCTTTCCTATTAGATGTCACACATATTTCTGAGCCATTTGTAGGGAGACACATTAAAGCAGATTAGATAGATGAATGCTCAGTGTGTTACCAAAGGTGAACCCATCACTTATTGTACACAAATTCTAAAAAGCAATTAATAACCAGCCATTTTGTTTCAGTTTTGTACCCGCCACCACCCTCTCTGACTCTCACACACAAACCCAGTCACACAGTCACACTCAGTCCCTGTCAGATTTAGCAGCAGGGGTTCGGATTAGCTCCACTGAGAGAGACACAGTGTGGACCATGAATTCTCACACAGGACTAAATCTGTGTATGTGGGAACTTGTGTGTATTGTGGGGTAAAAACATTACATTTGAGTCTTATATTTCTTGTTTTCTGTGTAAGTTTGCAAAAGGCTGTAGAACCGAGTGTTGTGAAGTCTTCCATATTTGGCGTGTCTCCATCTATGTCCCTAGATGATGTGTGTGTGTTGCTGTTGTCACGGAGAAACTGTGTGTGTTTTTGTTCATTGTAAAGCGTGAACAGTGCAGACTAAGCACACTAAGCACGAGATGACAGCTTCTCAGCAGGAAGTGTGTGTGTGTGTGTGTGTGTGTGTGTGTGTGTGTGTGTGTGTGTGTGTGTGTGTGTGTGTGTGTGTGTGTGTGTGTGTGTGTGTGTGTGTGTGTGTGTGTGTGTGTGTGTGTGTGTGTGTGTGTGTGTGTGTGTGTGTGTGTGTGTGTGTGTGTGTGTGTGTGTGTGTGTGTGTGTGTGTGTGTGTGTGTGTGTGTGTGTGTGTGTGTGTGTGTGTGTGTGTGTGTGTGTGTGTGTGTGGTTTGAGTATCCTTGTAAACAGATTCAAACAGTGATAGGCCCATCCATTCTGCGCAGTATGAGAGCAGTTAGTACTCTAAGATCTGCATACACACTGGGAACCCTAGTGCAGTTTTTTGTTGGTGTGTTTCCTTTAAGGATTCATTTTCTTTCATGTTGTTAAACACAGTTTTAAGTGTAAGTGTTCTCAGTTGTTTACAGTATATCGAATGCTTTTGCTGTAAAAACTCTTACGTAATCAGAAGAGATGAGAAATGATTTACCTACATTTTCAGCCAGGCTAGCAGCAATGTTCTAAAGATGACTGACATTACATTTGAAAAAATTGATTTAGGGGTGTCCTGTTAAACTAAACGATACAATAAATCTGTGTTGTTTCTTGTTTGATTTCAGCTGGATATCTTTGTTGGGTGTCTTGTCCCTCTATGTGTCACCACCACATATTCAGCTTGGATCAATACTGTCAACAATCCTTGTCAAAAGACTTTTGTTAAAATAGAATGGCACAGAAACATCTGTGTGAATTTTTCCTAGTTTGAAACTAATTTGAACAATTATTCTGACAACACATAAATACAGCACATGTGCAGTGTTTGAAACATAATTAATATATGCACCTGGTGTCTTGGATCTACTCCAAAATGTTTGCTCCACGCTTCCAGTTTCATGAAATACAGGCCATTAGTTTTTCTATTAGATAGTTAGATGAGACCAAACATGTGCTTTGAACAGTTGGGCTGTTTTCTTTGAACATAATTGTGTTCTTTTATCCACTCGGTGATACATTTAATGGTATATGATGACATTAGCCACTGTCCAAAATGTGTGAAACACTGCGTATCACACGCGAATATCCTACCATTGTAGACATGGGTGTTGAAGTGTTGCTCTCATTGCAGTTCACTATTCAGCTTCTGTTAAAACTCCATTTACAGTTCAGCCAATTCAACTTTGATCCCATTTGCAGCTGACTTAAGCAAACAGAGTGGGAAATGGAATAAATCCTCTTTACTTTTTTCAAAATGTTTTTGATAGTCTGTGTAATGCATTGTTGAAACATGATATAACAGAGAACAAAATTAGAAAATAAACACATGAGAGAAGATGTCTCTAATAATAACTGGATACTTGTGCACAGTCATTGCCCTTCTTAGTGCTATGTCACACACAGAATGTAATTTCCTTTTATCATTACCCTTTCCAGCTATAGGGCTCTTTTGCTTTTGCTGAGTCGGACTAAATGGTCTGACGCACGCACACACACGGGCAGACACACACACACACACACTCATGGGCAGACAGATAGATGGGCTTGGCTGCGTGACTCACTATTTTGTCTGGTGCAGATGACCCTAGGTGTGTATGTACCTGGGTGAGATGGGGGTTATGAGATGACGGTGTGTATGTGTGTTGGTATACTTGTGTGAATCTTCCTTAGTTGTCAATTTGTATTTACATGTTTTCCTAGTACCTTCGCGCGGCAGCTGTATGTCCCTCAGCCTCGGTCACCTAAAGCAAAATTGAGACGTTAGATGCTAAGAAGATGAGGAAAGAGTGTGAGCTGCTGACTGTCGGACAACCACCTCGCTCTGTGTCTACCTGTCAGTCTGACGTGTCTCTCCATACATCCACATGACGACTCTGCTTGATGTGTTTGGGCGTCAAGGTCAAATTGAATCCTGCTCTGCAACGGCTGGATGTTGTGAGAAAGGAGCTCTGGTCACTGCAGTGGTTGATGCAACTGTCGGAGGACATTGTTTGATTTGGATCTTGACTTTGCAGCAAAATTGTAATTTACAGGAAGAAACTGTAAATTGGGAGCATAAACCAAATGATATCTCAGCCTCTTCTGCACCCTTCAACTAATCTAATGTATATTGCCAGTCCCTCACTTTAATGAAAGTGTCATTCTGAATCACTTCATTACCACAGTTTAACAATAAATGCTGCTAATAAATGTAACCTTTTTTTATATTCGGCCTACGAGCCATTCAATCGTTGTTTCAAATTAAGCTAAATTGAGTTAAGAGGCTCTCGATGGGGAGTAGTGCTCAGATACTAGCATTAATAGACATTTGCACCAAATTCTGTAGTGCCCTTGTTTCAATGTATTACACAATTGTATTCTGGTGCATGCTAAGGGATTTCTGTGGTAAATACTTGGATAAAACTCAAAGTTACATCACTTTCAGTCTCCAGAGTAGCTATGCTGAGTTGAGGAGCATTTTATTTCATGAAGAGGATGATAATAGGACACGATTACATTTCAGGAACTCTAAAGTGAAGATCAGAGTGTTTTGTTTTAGAATAAATTATAAATGTGTTCTGCATTTAAGCAGTTAAGAATGAGAACAATAGGCTGTTATGTTGATAATGAGAGCGAGTTTTTGTTTTATTCATTAGTGAAAAACATTATTCAGAACCCTTATTGGTCTGGTTTTTATGCAGATTTTCAAGAGGTTTTAAATTGAAGGACGTCTAATTTTTTTTGTTCTGTATTCCCATGTCCTGAATACTGGATCATCAGGAAATGTCCCTTCATATCGAGCGCTGACCTGACCTCTGATCGTGTCCAGAGCAGAAACCCTGTCTGTGTCTGTGGCTCAGGGCAAAAGGCTAGTTGGCCTTCATGTCCTTGTTAGCCTTCCTACTTTGTTTTGAGCCTCATCTCTTCTGTCTCTTGGTTAGGCAATCATCTGGAGCTTTCCCAGTGGAAATCTGAGACCGCAAGAAAGTCTGTCACCGTTGAAAATAATGAGAATACGCACGAAAGGCCTGGCCAGCTTGTTTGTCCCTTGTTTCTCTTGTAGTCACTTTGATGCACAAGTCATTATGTAATCTTTCAGTTTATATGTATACATACATTAAATTGAAGACAGTAACACTTGCTCTAAAGATTGTTGACAATGTTTTTCTTTGTGTCAGGATCAAGGTGAACGACCAGATCGTGGAGGTGGATGGGACCAGCCTGGTGGGCGTCACCCAGAGCTTCGCTGCCTCCGTCCTCAGGAACACATCCGGAGTGGTCAGGTACGACCCACAAACACACAACCATAAACTAAAAGGCAGTTACAGCAAATGATGAGTCCACTATGAAGTCTTATGATCCTATATTTGATTAAACTGCAAAAACAATGCTGCGACTGATGCCTCTTTTACTATTAAAAGAGTGAAATTGAATCAAGGTCAATTTGATCATGCTACTCCACCAGCACTTGAACCTTTAATATAAAATATGATCAAATTTAGTGCTTAATTATTTGATCACATACACACTAAAGATTTGTATGTTTTCCCTGCCTGATGAGGACCTTTGGATTATCATGAGATTATAGAAGTGTGTCAAGCAGCTATCAGCCCCAGAAACCAGACGTACGCTACCAGACAGCATCACTAACAAACTGAAGCCTCTAGAAATGTCCTTTTTTATCAGAGCAGTGATCAGTGAGAACAGTCTTCACTTTTCAGTATCGCTGCACGGTTTGCAGAAGTTTGCAAAACAGCCGTTTAAGCAGCCATGCTTAAAGATGGGATTTTGTTTGGCAAGCCCCTTAGAGCCATTACCATATCTGAGATACTGGAAGATGTAGGAACACAATATGTGTGTTTGACACTTGAGCAGATTTGGCATGGGTGCATTTAGAGCGGTGGGGAGCAGACAGCATGGCAGGAAGTCTTCAATTTGGAAAGCAAGTGCTGTCCTTGGCAATATTGTAATCCTGCCATCTCTTACTTTCTCTAACTAATTGCTTGCTCTTGTCATTTTTTCTTTCTTAATATGGTTTACTGTTGTCTTTTGTATTTGTGTTTTCTCACCATCATCTGCTATCGAGTATCCCCTGTCCTCTTCTCTGAATCCTCTCTTTACTCTGTGCTGTTTCAACCTCTGTTTGCATAACAAGTAAGCTTTGTTTACAATGTCATGCTTCAATTTGTCTAATTAATTGAGCCATCCATCTATATCTACACTCCACATGTTAAGACAGCTGTTGAGTAAATTAAAATCCTCAGTGTGCTTTGAAAGATAGGTGTGTGTGTGTGTGTGTGTGTGTGTGTGTGTGTGTGTGTGTGTTGTGTGTGTGTGTGTGTGTGTGTGTGTGTGTAGTGTGTGTGTGTGTGTGTGTGTGTGTGTGTGTGTGTGTGTGTGTGTGTGTTGTGTGTGTGTGTGTGTGGTGTGTGTGGTGTGTGTGTGTTGTGTGTGTGTGTGTGTGTGTGTGGGTGTGTGTGTGTGTGTGTGTGTGTGTGTGTGTGTGGTGTGTGTGTGTGTGTGTGTGGTTGTGTGTGTGTGTGTGTGTGTGTGTGGTGTGTGTGTGTGTGTGTGTGTGTGTGTGTGTGTGTGTGTGTGTGTGTGTGTGTGTGTGTGGTGTGTTGTGTGTGTGTGTGTGTGTGTGTGTGTGTGTGTGTGTGTGTGTGTGTGTGTGTGTGTGTGTGTGTATAGTGTAGTGTAGTGTAGTGCAGTGCCCAGGAGCTGGTGGCTAAACAAAGACATGTCCAGCGGTATCAGAACAGATGCTGTTTGCTCAACTAACATTGACAGGGGGCGTTTTTCCACATACCAGGATGTGACACTATAGGTGCGGCGGCCTTGAAAATGTCCCATTTATCACCTGCCGTCTGTTTATAGATTAAGAGAGCAGTGCCGAAAGCTTTATACTCTAATCGGCCAAAGATCTAGAGTTACACTGAATTACTTACAATATATGAGTTGTAAAAAACGACATCTAGGGAATAAAAAATACACTTCTGTCACAATCTTGCAGCAAATTGTAATAATAACTCGCTGTTGTTTTCCATGGCAGACCTATTTTCACTCTTCCCTTCCTCCGTGCTCTTTCCCTATTTCAGTCTTCCTCCATCATGTCTCACCCACTCACTCTTCTTCTGCCTCCTCCTCTTCATTCTTCTCCTCAGTAAATCCATCTCTCTCTGCCTGATCACTAGAGGTTTTGTGGCCAACTGTCCTAGATTTGCTATTTTAGCTATATTTAACCCTGACTTGCAGTTCCAGTGGGATCACTTGTGGGGAAACACGAGAGAAAATGTGCTCTTGGCAACATGATACTTTATCTCATTTAAGGAAGACAGTTGCTGAATATAGACCATGTTTTAGTCCAACGTGGTGTTTAGAGTCGGAGAGGTCCTGATAATTTATTCCGGTAAATTACTCTGACCTACTAATTGACCTGACCGAAGTTATTGAGTCTATGTAAGTTTGCTGCTTGGCTCAGATCCACCAACGTCAGCAAGATCTCACCTCTACTAACCCCCCGAAGAACCAGGTTCAATTAACTGCTGTTTCAATTCAGACAACTCTTTTTTAATCTGTTAAAGGGATCCCGAAGGATTTTGATATCAGTAAATGGAGTGTGCTCCTACCTAAGTGTGAGTGGCAGGGTGCAGTCTTACCTTTTAAGCAGGAGAGGAGAGCACAGGTTGTCTTTTAAGTTATCCCAGTCCAAAAAAGGTGGGATCAGTTTATTTGAAGAAAAATAGGTCCAAACTAATACAGGGTTTTTACCTTCTCTCTTTAAAACATTATAATCATACTAAAAAAAAAATGGTGCTGTGATCATGTTCAAATATGAAACTTTAATTCACAGTCTTACATTTATTACCAACATGTTTAATTTCAACTGCCCAATTCAGTTGTGACATTTTAAAATCTCCCGATAAAATTTAGAGGTATTTCCTCATAAAAAGACCGGTGACAATAAAAAGCGCATTCAACTTTTCATTCACCAAATCAATTCACATCAGTTTCATAACTTTTTTCCGACACAGATGGCGGGTACTAACATTCAAAAACACACACCTATCTCCCGCAGGTATTTCGGAGGAAGATCCTCACGGTGGCGTTTCCTAATCACAACCACACTCCTATCCGACACAGATGGCGGGTACTAACATCCACAAACACATACCTATCTCCCGCAGGTATTTCGGAGGAAGATCCTCACGGTGGCGGTTCCTAATCACAACCATATCTCACAACCACATCTCCCATCAAATCATTCCACTCAGCATTCCAACCAAGAAATTCACTCAGCATTCAAAGAAATTCACTCAGCATTTCAAACCAAATTCACTCAGCATTTCAACCAACAAATATCAGAGATATTTACCAAGTTTGAGAGAACCTTACCGAGAGCTATTAACCCAGCTCTGAAGGACAAAGCCTACCGGGAGAGAGTCTACCAGGGGAAACCCCCCTCTCTCTCGCGCTCTATCAAAAAACCAGTCTCTTTATGCTCAAAAAACCGGATCGAAACCCCAAAAAAACAAACTCCTCCTCTACACCCAATTTGTGGAAAACTGGGCATGGCCTCTAATGTACAGGGCTGGACATGACCCGACATGTTCTATGGCTATCATAACCAACTTTTTGACGCCTCAATGTTTTTCTCCTTCAGTAAGGAGCCCCCCTCCCTGTGAACTGCTGTCAGAGGAGAGGGAAAAAACAGCCTACTCTCTTATCAGAGACACCCATAACTCTTATAGGCCTTACACTCAACTTAACAAACCACTTTTTTTGTTTATACTGTAACTATAGAAAAACCTAAAATATGAAGCATTTTCATTGTGGGTTATACAAGAATATAATTGATTATATTTGATTATAACTAACTTTCGTTTTAAGTATTCACTTCATATATGATTTATAATTAACTTTCGTTTTAAGTATTCACTTCATATGAAGATCTCAACAGTGGTTTAAAGCACCTTTTTTGGCTTTCCTGTAAGTGGAACTCAAAATAATGTTGTCTTCCTTTTCAAAACTCACAGCGCTGTTAATGTTGTGCTTAAAATAACAAATAAGCAGTAGCTCAAATTGTATGCACCTTCTTTGATTGATTGTCCTTTTCACTTCTAAATGAAGATGTATGCAATATTCTAAATGTATTTTATTGTCAACATATACAATGAAAAAGGCCAAAGACCAAACATTATTGTATCCTTCTGATTTGCCAAAACCAGATTTACGGTAGAATTTGTCCTTTTGCTACAAAGCTCCATTGTTGTGAAAAAAACACTTAACGTTTCTGCCCAGCAGCTTTAGGACATTTTACAAATTAAAACATATGCATCAAACAGGGCTGAATGTCCAATAGGGGAATCAGAAAATACTGACAAAAGGACTTTCTTTATTTTAATGACATGTATTGAGAAATTGAGAATAAAACACTCTATCATGATGCACCCAATGTCCACGAACAACTAGTGAAAAAGAGTTGAACAAAAGCAGAACATCTCTACATATACCCACTGTGTTGGACCAGTCATATCTGTTAGCCCTGACCCGCGCTGACATCCTTTAATGCCTGTCAACCCCGGAGTAAATGAGATCAGTAGTGAAGGTTTCTGCAGCTGAAGCAGCGCTGTGTGTGGCTGCCTCTCAGCAGTGGGAGGCCAGAGGAAACAAGACAGACTCCCCATGCGTGAGGAGAGAGGCTGTTTCCAGGTCAGCTGCTCCTCAGACCTCCCTGCTGTCCAAAGGCTCGTTCCAGTACAGTACTTACAGTAACTTAGCAAGGGTCCTCACCTTTCTTTTTCTTTCATACTTTTTTTTAATCTGTCCTGCCCTTTAGTTGTTCCTTCACATGTAAATCAGAAATGCCTCTTTGCTGGAGCGTAAGGCCTTTTTCTACTGCGGCTTTAGAAATATATGAAACAGCTCTCAGGAACTGAATTCACTTGATTAGGCTCCGTCTCGAATCCACTCTCTCTTTCTCCCTCTGCCTGTCTCCCTCTCTCACTCTAACACACTCACTTGTACATGTACAGTAAATAGAAACATGCTTCTTACACACACACACACACACACACACACACACACACACACACACACACACACACACACACACACACACACACACACACACACACACACACACACACACACACACACACACACACACACACACAGTTATAGGACCCCTGCTGGGTTGAAGGTTTGATGATGTTAGGAGTAGCAGTGACACTATTAACAGTGAAGCAACAATGATAGGAAGAGTTTATCCTTCTATGCTATTGAATCTAAGATAATTATATAAATCTTTGTGCCTTTAATATTCCAAACACACACCATTCGCACGGAGGCAGGTTATATTTGGCACAAACTAAACACATTGTTTATGCTCTTTCTCCGTTTTCTCTCACTTTGTCTACATGCTAATGTGATGTGTATTGTTGGTGGGTCTCAGGAGGAACTGCAGTAGCTCGGAGGCAGAGCCCAGGGCTTTCTACATTTAGTTCCTTGCCAGGCTAATAACAGGCTGCCTCTCTGAGCTGACTGTCCTCTCATATTATTATGTGTGTCCCGTCTCCCAGCCCTGCCCTGATTCGTCAGCAGATATCGCTGTCATTGCCATGTTGCTGTGCGCCTCTGCTGCTCTCACAGAGTGCCTGCTATGCACTTTTCTCTGGACAAATACATGGCAATATGAGAAGAAAATACAATCAATTATAGCAGAAGTCTAAAAGGTCATCATGAATAGGTAGTTTGTGCAATACATCTGTATATCTAAATGAGAACAATCTCATCTAAGGGAAAAATATGAAAGAGATATTTTTTTCATTTATTTATTTATATTCTTTTCTATGTGAAATCTTAAAATAAACGGTTAACATAAACAAATAAGCCTTAAAAAAAACGAGACCCTTAAGAAATTGTGATTTTTATTTACTAGAATTCATCGACAACATTTCGCTTTACTTTAAAATGCACCATTTTGTAGAAACAGATTCTCAGAAAATTAATAATTGCCATTCAAACTAATGACACACGGTGGAAATGATGATGATGATGATGATTTCATCAATTAAACACAACATCATATATATATTTTTTTTATAAATGCACAGTCACTGTTACATAATCATATGTGTGTTGCCAGGACTGTCATTAACAGTGCGTGTGGTTGCAGGTTTGTGATTGGCCGGGAGCGTCCGGGCCAGCAGAGCGAGGTGGCCACGCTCATCCAGCAGACCCTGGAGCAGGAGAGGAGGCAGAGAGAGCTGCTGGAGCAGCAGTACGCTCAGTATGACGCCGACGATGACGAGGTAAAGACCGGAGTCTGGACGGGGCATTCAATTAATGTTCATACATACTTATAAGAGGATGTACCCCATAGTGTGGAACCATTTTCCATTGTGCAAATAGGGTCAAATGCCCCCCTGGATAAAAGGAACATCCTTTATTTATGAAGCTCATTATATCCACATGTATTTGAAGTTCAGCCGCTGTCAGTTCACACACTTCTTATACATGACACTTCATTGGAAAATGTAAGCTTCTAGTTGTCACTTAATGTAAATCAGCTCCCTTCTCTTGACAGTTTCATGGAAGTTTTAGGTTATTAACTCCATAAGACTGACTGACAGTGGGCTTTGATGCTGGCACACAGAATGCACTCTCTCTAACGGACACACACAAATGAAGAGGATGCCATGTGAGTTCTAGAAAGCATCACTCAGCGTTTCCCCTGCTGCTTACTCACAGCACGTTTAATCCAACAGACACTGAGCTCATGGTCCTGTGTGTGTGTGTGTGTGTGTGTGTGTGTGTGTGTGTGTGTGTGTGTGTGTGTGTGTGTGTGTGTGTGTGTGTGTGTGTGTGTGTGTGTGTGTGTGTGTGTGTGTGTGTGTGTGTGTACCACAAATCAATGCATAGCTCATCCTCACTAACACACACAGCTGCAGTCATGTGTAAATGTACATGCTGAAACATACTAACCCGGGCCTCACTGTTAGGGATGTTTGAGGTCTTTCATTTCCTGCTGGATGTTGGATGAAAAGCCTTCATGCATAAGAAACTCCTCCCCAGGCCCCGGAAGCTGATCCAAGCGCTCCCATCACACACGAAACACTGTCAGCTCATATTAAAGCTCCTGCACAGAGTCGACAATTCAGCCATTAGCTACAATCTCACTGCACTCTCTGATTCAAACACAGAAGAAACCTCCCTCCTGTGGCTTTAGTCCTGCTCTCTGTTAGTTCAGATCAAGGATGTAGAATGAAAATCAAAACTATGCAGAACATATTTATATATATATACAGTATAAACATATATTCATTGCCAATTTGGAAGAATCTTCATTCAAAGTTACTAAGGAAAGTTAATAAATAAATAATAATAAAGTTAACAAAGACATTATTTAGTAAAACATTAAATATTGTAACCAGAAAATATTTTTGATAATACAATTATTTAATTATCGCAATAATAAAAAGACACACATATATCCAATCAAATACAATAACTATTCTAAATATAAAATAGTAAATAAGTTCCAACAGTGCATCACAAAGCTGGTATTAAATAATTATTTTTCAAAGGAATTTGTAGGAATAGGAATTGTATCCATATAAAAAACACTATTGTATGTTTAGCTATAGGAGAGAGCACACAATAATGTGTTACTTGTTGTTATTAAGCCTAGGAATCAACTTTCTGGACGTTTGATGAAAACTATTTGTGATCATTTGTCAAGTACATCTTTCCAAAATGATTTGATCCTCGGGAAATCCCATAAGCAGTGTAACAGTATGTTACGTCCCCAGCTCGCTTAGGGTAAAAGGGAAGCAACACGAAACCAGGTGTTCTTGGTAAGAGGTTGATTTTAATAATAAACTCAAAATAAAGATGATATAACCAAAAATGCAGGCTCTTAAAACCAGCTATCTGTTCACAAATAACGCTACACAAAACAAAGGCCACAGATTATCACAGTCATAGCACACTATAGGCACTTAAGGCTAAAATAGTGAGGCGTCTCGCACAAGTTCGACGCCGTCACAAATCACAGAATACACACAAAACACACTTAAGCAATAAGCACACACCCTAACTAACCACTGTAGCAGAACTAGCGCAGAGCTACACAGAACGTAAGGAGAGCACAGAGAGACGTCTGACACAGATTCAGACCTCTCCTGTCTAACTGAGATGCACACACTCTTGTAAGAGTCCCCGGAAGGTGTGGGCAGGGATTGGTGAGTCGGGCCCGACCTGCTCCAATCCAGATCTTCGGTCACGCCTACCGGAGGAGGGACAGGAAACTGGCATCCAATGGCGTCCGGGCAACGGCACATCTCATATACATATAACATACACAGCTGAAAATAATCCCAGACAGGTTAACGAGCAGACAGCAGCAGCAGCAGCCGTGACACAGTAATTAACTTCAAGTGAGCACCCTGCTCCACAGATCCCCAGAAGGAGGAATGAACATAACAATGCTGATTGTATTTAAATAGTTAATCCATACATACATTACCAACCGCTGTAAAAACACACTTGAAATCTAACTGCGTTGAGCACCAAGCTATCCATATTCCCTACGTAACTGCCGATAGGGTAAACAGTTACGAAACCATTACAAAGATCTATGGTGCAATAAAAGGGGCTCATCAATATTAATATCTCTATAAATGTTAGAAGGAGTTCTCAACAGGGGGAGTGTTGAGGGAGGTTATTTCTCACTTTTGAGTGCTGCCTGCGTTGATCTGACGGACAGCTCTTTATTGGTGCTGGGGCTCCTGTCCCAAGAGGAAGAAATCCTGCTTCAGTTAGCAATAGTCATCACACACACACATCAGTCAAATTATGGGTTTGATTATATCTGATCTAACACACACACATGCCCATCTGTCAGCACTTAAATGCTACACACACATAAAGACAGCATGGAGACCAAACGCGCAATATCAGGTTTACTTCGGCTGTGGGAAAATGTGGTCAGTATTTCTCCTCTGTATTATTATATTTTAGAAACTCTGGATTAAAGAATAGAGATTCCATTGAATAAGGTTGAAGAGAATAATTATATTTGATAAAATGATATCCAAACAAATGTACAAATGTAAGCGTATAGAATAAAAGTCTAACTCTAGAGTAAAGACTGAAAAGATCTATTCATGTCAACACCAACATGGAGACACGTGAACACACACACACACACACACACACACACACACACACACACACACACACACACACACACACACACACACACACAACCCATCACCATATGGGGAGGCAGGGAAGTTAAAGATTTCCATTTCTCAGGAGGGTTGCATGTCTGCAGAACTGGCAGTGTGAGGGTTAAAATAAAGTGCATTGACATTTTAGCAATAAATCCATAAAATCCAGGTTTCATTATTTTGAATTTGGCTGATGTAAGGTATTCATTGTATCTGCTTATTCAGGGTCTTTCTAATTATTTACATCCAAGTCCGATATTTCAGACCTTTCTAAGAACATGGAATTTCCCAATGGTTTAAATGTGTAAATTGCTATTTATGCTAACTCATAAATGTCTAGTATTGGAGATTTCTTTTGTTATACTGACTTACATAAAAAAATACCGATATATTTAGCTTTAAATGATACACTTAAAACATAAGGAACATTACAACAATAGCAGCATATAAAACACATTGTTTTGTCACACTCGTAAATGCACTCTTCCTCAAGTCAAAGGAGAAGCCCTTTCCCCCAGTGAGCAACAATCATTTTACCACATCTACCTCACATTAACATTCATAGTGCGGATCATCATACGCTGAGCAGCCTCTAAACAACAGAGTATCTCTCCTTAAATCGTCCCTTCCTCTCCTTTATTCATATGGTAGGAGGTGATGCATTTATCATATGCAAATTGGTGTTTGACTGCCCTGTTCAATGGTTAACTCCACCTTCAGTGAATGGGACCTTAATGCGGGATGCTGGTACCATGGCAACAAGCAAGCCTATTATGAAAATGGGACTCTATGTCGGCCATGCATGCAAACAAATCAGGCCCGAGGTCGGTTATCAGGGTGGGAGATGGATGGAGGGAAGTGGATGAGATGAGGAGGAGTGGATACCAGGCCAAGATGATGACAGAGCAGATGAGACTGTGTTTGTGTTTGTGTGTGTGTGTGTGTGTGTGTGCGCGCGCGTGCGTGTGTGCTACATGTGTGTTAAAAATCAAGACCGAACGACAAGTGAAAGATAGATTGTATGAGGACCAGAGACAGAGAGAAAGAAGGTGGGGACAGTAGTGACATTATTATTTACATGTAGATGATAAAGTATATACAAATGGAAAACAACTTGGACTGATTGATATGAAGAGTACACTGACAGATGCTTTTTTACATAATAGCTCCACTAGAAATGTAAGGCTCTGTTGGTCATCAGCCAAAAAGTGAATCAACCGATCCATTGAGGTCTGATGGCCAGTGCCAACATTCATTTGAGTTTTTTTTGAGAACTGGAGGAAAGATAAACTGCCTTGAAAGCTTGCAGCATAATGGCCTGCATTAACATCAACAATCAAAAATATAATTTTTAAAGAAATATTTGATAAATCTATAGATCTAGAGTGTGCTCCTTAGAGATACCATCATAGGTTTAAACCGCACTTAATTTACCCCCTAACCCATTAAACATGATGCGAGATGGTGACTCATATTTAATCATAATAAGAAGTGACATTCAAATTTGGCCAATTCAACTGGCTTATTTTAATAGAAAAAAAACCCCTCCTTATGGCCGACCAGGCTGTCAAACCAATTTATTTTTTGACAAAGTTTTGGCCAAGTGAGTGTGTTACCTCATTTTTATATAACCGGTAGCATTAAAATAGCATTACAAGATAGAAAGCGTAAAAAAGAGATGGCATGATGGAAAATGGGTAGGAGTTTCTGGAAGTTCTAGACACGCAATATGCTGCACTCTGACTGTTGAAGCTTTGAGGAGAGATGGGAGAAAGACAGGGGGAGAAATGGAGAGAGGACACACAGATGTTGCAGTTTGACAGCTGGATATCTGACTGTGCGTTTTCTCTGTTCAGGCTGGCTAACTCAGGCTAACTCCATATTGAAGGGTCAACGCTTACCGTACACAGAAGCTCTGCCGGTGGGACGACAAAAGCTGCCTTTTCATTTCTTCATGCTAAACGAGGAGACGATTGCTTGCAGATTTTTAGAAACTGTAGCAATTAAGCTGGCAGTTAAATAAATAAATGTTAGCTAACTTCATGAGTTTTGATATTCAAGCTGAATAATTTTAAAACAATAATCTAATAAAAGACTGAGACTAAAGCCAGACACAGTTTGTGCTCTACAGTACATGTATTCTCTATAAACACAGTCACAGAGATAACCATCCCTCAGTATCAGTTATTTAACCAAACCTATTGTGAATTTGAAGACTCTCATAACCATCTGGGTGAAATAATATTCAATCTGCTGCACCATCGAATTGTTCCACCTTTTCCTAATCCAAACAAAGATGGTATTCGGATATTACACATCTCCTTACCGGATGTGTGAGCCAAAACATGTATTAACAGTTATATTGGTATACATTTTTCACTTAATCACTTAAAAACAATTTGTATTATTATTTTAAAATGTTATTCTATGTTGTCTTTATTTTTACCTTGTGTGAATCCTGTTTTTAACTCTGACCCTGTTGCTGCTATAAATGCCTGAATTTCCCAAAGTGGATAAATAAAGTTCCATCTTATCTTATTGTATCTTAAATTGATGTTTCTTTTTAACTATTTTATTTATCATACAAGTTCAAGTAAATCGTTTTTTTTCTTTTTTTTTACAAATTTAAATTCAAGCTAGCTTGTTTAGAAAATTCACGAGAGAGTGTTTGTCTCTTACATTAGTACATTGTGCTGTTACGTACATTTACTGTATTTGCAGGAAAATTGACTTTATGACTGACTGTGTTTTCTCTTACAGCAGACAGGAGAGTACGCCACAGATGAGGAGGATGGGGACGGGACGGTGGCGGGCGAGGACAAGAACATTGAGGTGTTTGACTTGCCAGAGTCCGAGGAAATCTTGTCTCCCACAGAGTTAGACGCCACTAAACTCTACCAGAAGTTCAGAGAGGTAAAAAAAAAACTGAGTTTGTCCCACCACATTTTTCTCTGCTTTGAAGAATACGTTTGAAATACCAAATGTACCCACACACTCACTAGAACAGAAAAGTGAATTCAATAAAACAACAAAAGACACAGATACAATGGAATATAACAGCCCTTTTTACTCGGCTGGGTTACAGTACATTTTTTTGTCTGGATCTCAGATCTGCTTACCCTCCCTAATTCCTAATCTGGAAGATTATTGGCGTGAACACAAAAGCTACGTGAGACTAGTGTTAATTTCGTCAGCTATTTTTTAATTTAGTTTTAGTCTTAGTCCTGTGTTACATTTTCTTTTTAGTTTTAGTCATATTTAGTCACCTTCATCCTGTTTTTATTTAGTCAAGTTTTAGTCGACTAAAAGTCTGAGCATTTTAGTCTTATTTTAGTCAAAGAAAACTAATTATTTGAGTCTACTTTTTGTCAATGAAAACTGTTGAGTCTTTTTTAGTCATCAGATTATATAGAACATTTCAGTCACAGGACCTGCCTCTGAGAATAGAAAGCCATGTTGTTGAACTTTGCCACCATCTGTACCAATGAACTCTGACCCATCTGTACCAATGAACTCTGACCCATCTGTACCAATGAACTCTGACCCATCTGTACCAATGAACTCTGACCCATCTGTACCAATGAACTCTGACCCATCTGTACCAATGAACTCTGACCCATCTGTACCAATGAACTCTGACCCATCTGTCCTAATGAAAATGAAAGAAAATGAGTTCACTGGCTGTTAACTGATTTCTTATCTTCATCGCTGTGGGGAGCGGCTGATATCGATCGAACACTCCACTACTGTTTTTGGCACAGTAACACTTGAGTCTTTCTGTAGACTGCCACAATAGCTGTTTGACACATTTAACAAATGGCTTCAGCTGCACAGCAGACACCGCAGGGGATACCGAGCAAAACTATAATGCAATCCCTAGTCACAGGGTTTATACATTTCTTCCAGTTTCTTCACCTCTGTCTCTCACAGTGCAGACTTTCATCTTGTTTTCGTTTTGAGGACTTTCCCATTTCCTATTTCATCCTTTGCTGCATTTGATACATTTTGCACAACAACCTGACAACCAGATAAGCCTTTTATAAAAATAATAAAAAGAGGATGTGGTAATAAATTACTCTTGTTGCTTGTCAGATAACATATCTTTTTATAACACAACTTGTTCTTATCATCATCGGTTGCCAAATAGAAACAAGATGGTATCAATACTATCAGCATTCAGCATCATGAAACTGAATTAAGTTTGGCGTTTCAAAGTTATTACTTTACTTTATCTATTTTGTAAGCTTGTGAGAAAAGTGATAATTAAACTTTGAATGGACTTAGCTGTTTCAAGTATAGGTTCACATTGTATTGAAATCATTACAGGACATTTATAAATGCCCTCCTAACAAAACAAGAAAAGTTGATGTGAACTTAATATGAGACTTCAGCAGTCTGAGAACATACATCACATGGGTATTCTCCCAAAGTAATTGCCACCAGTTTGCATGTGGATAGGGGAATATTGACTTGTGTTATAAAAGTGCTTTTAGAGATGGCAAAGACTGGAAAAGTGCTATATAAATACATCCATTTACCAAAGTCCTCTCTACCCCTTTTCTGTGTTTCTGCCTCACTTACTATAGCTCTCATTTGCTCCTCTTTCCACATCTCTAGTTCCACATCCACTTCTTTCTCTCTGTCTCATCTTCTTTTTTAGTTCTCTGTCATTATCTCGATCCCGCTCTGCTTGCCTGCAAACGACTGCTCATTGCAACTTCCATGCATCACTCATTTTCCCCTCTCTCCATTTCCAACTCTATCCATGATACACTTCCACAGATACGCAAGCCTTTTTGCATTAAGATTTAATCAGTTTTTAATAGGGTATGGAATTGTATTGAAAAAGTGACAGATTTTTTTGATGTAATGCTATGCAAAATAAAAAAATGTTTGAAGTATCTAGCTTTTTATCTGTCTATCTCCTTCCTCTTCCTACCTCTCCTCTGAGACTGTGTGTCAGAGCTGGGATCTGTCTGCTGTCAGAAGAGGACAGCCTCGGCTGCCTCGGTCCTTCTCACAGTATCCACAGCAGAGAGATTCTGCCCAGCCATGCATTTGATCACTGACCACCCTCTCTCTTCTCTCCTATCTCCTCTTGTCTCCGCCTCTGCTCCAACAGCTCCAGATCAAACACACAGTGACGGAGGCCGAGATCCAGAAGCTTAAAAACAAGGTAAGAGATTAAGACTGTCAGTGTGCGGGCTTAATGGGTGCTAAGGACAGAAGTTTGTCGAGGTTCAAACTATTTGTGAGGGAGATGTGGGAATAGTGTCAGGACAGGACACAGGAAAAACAGTAGCTAATCTTATCTGATCAAGCTTCTTGTAATACGCTGCAGTAGTTGCCTTTACAAATTGTGATTTAGGGCACCTGGTATCACAGTTTTTTATTTTTCGGCGTATATGCATGTGTTTATGTTTTCTTAAATACACAAGTGTTTAATTGATATGCTTCGTCAAATGTTAATGAACTAATCACCTTAATTCCCAAATTAAAGTGCTGAGAGTTAATATGATTACATTCACCCAAGCAGTGGTGCTTAAAAGAGTTAGAGTGGATCCACTTTCACAGAAAAATTAATTGATGCCTTTTATGGTCTCAAAACGTGATTTTGCTCAGACTTTTGCATTTTACTCTCTGTAATGTCCTTCCCAGTCTTTAAAATCTAGGTTTTTTTATTGCACATTTTCATGTAGTTGCGGTCAATATAAATAAAACTACAAATGCTTTGGTTATAGGAACAAACTGTATAGTAAATGGGAAGGGTAAAATATAAAAGCTTTCTTTTTAAAACATCCTTTTTGTTGCAACTTAAGTTGTCTTGTCCCCTCCCAGCTAACGTCAGTGGAGAGGGAGAAGCAGCGCTGGGAGAAGGAGAAGAGCCAGCTGAAGGCCAGCATCGAGGAGAACAAGGAGAGGATGCTGAAGCTGGAGAGCTACTGGATCGAAGCGCAGACCCTCTGCCACACGGTCAACGAACACCTGAAGGAGGCGCAGGCACAGTACCAAACTCTGGAGAAGAAGTACAACAAGGCCAAGAAACTCATCAAAGACTTCCAGCAGAAGTAAGTTTAATGGTCATGCTCATCTTGGATTGAGTGTTTGCTTGCTTGTGTAAGAACTTATCTTGGCACATATTCTGTTTTACAAGAAGAAATACATTTTTTTTATTTTTGGTGAATTGTTAATAGACAATAGCCATAGCCAACATTTCCGGAGATTTGATCTTAAAGAGAGGAAAACACATTTTAAATGTCATCCCAACTCGAACCAACTGTGTACTTGCAAAGAAAGACACTTAACAGCTCTAAATGACTTCCAAAATACCTCCTTCACTTCTTAGCAGGAGATCCTTTCACAAATCCTGCCATTAAACATTCGCTGAAATAAATCATCTAGAATGAATTCCTTCATTATTCCTTTTTACAGCTTCCTTTGCTTCAATGAGCAGAAAGAAAATTATCTGCAGCATTTCCATCTGTAAGGCAGAGCAGCTCTTTTATTGCCGAAGTCTTATTCAATTTCAACAGTAAGAGCAGAGTCTCCTATTCTCATGCAGCGCAGCTCCCCTGCTTTTCAGTGCGTTGATCTCTTTGGTCAGTCCCATCACAACCTCTCCAGCTCAGCTCCAGTCTGACGGCCTCTAATTGGCTGTGGCCCTGCAGGCCAACTGGAAGCTAAATGATGAAACAAACTCTCCCTGCTGATCTGTAGCAGAGGACTGAGATGCAGAGGGCAAAGCAGGCAAGAGGAAATGGTGGAATTGATTATTTCCTAAGATGGACATGAATGTGTGTTTTCTAGCTGTAGATATGTGCACACACACACATAAATCTTGTTTCCCTGAGTGGGCATACACCTACTCACCACATTACGAACTCCCCTCCCTCTCTTCTCTCCAGAGAGGTGGAGTTTATCCAGAAGGAGGATGGGGAGAGGAGGCGGCTGGAGGAGGCTGAGAAATCTCACCTGGCAGAGATCCAGGGACTGCAAGTCAGGGTAAACCAGAGCATCTTGTTTATCTCTAACATCCATCTTTTCCTGTAAGCCTCTCCGTGTTTAAAGAGCCTGTGACACGAGTTTCCCCCATCATCCAAACCCATCAATTTGAGTAAATATTGTCCCCTTGAAAACCGTGACTGAACTGATTTTGGATATTTGTACTTTGATAACCATTAATCTGCCCTTCAATGTTGACCATTTTCTGGATCTTCTCGGGGTTCTTCAAGTCCCGCCAAATGATGTGTGACGTCATTGCGGGCACAGCGCTCCAGCTGCACCGTTCAGGATCCCAGCATCTGCATGTAAACACGATGGCGCACACAGCAGCAAGCTCAGACAGCGATGACGGTTTAATGTTGAACGTGTCTGAGAGCTCATATGAGGCTGAAGGATCGGTTTATGTTGTTCTGTTAGAAGTTTAGGAATTAGGTGCGTCAATATGGGCGATCATACGGTCATGTAGCCAGTGGTGGACTGGGACTAAAAATCATCCCGGGACTCTCGACCGGCCCACTTCGGTACCTCTAGTAAATTGTCAACGGGGGGAGTGGGGGATGTCAGGGGCGGCGGGTGCTGTAGATAGTAAACGTAAATATGTAAATATTTGTGTCACTGCATCCTGGTAAAATACAAATATAATGCAATGTCTGTGTCTTTGACATTAGCGCTGCCAGCCACCTGTGCCCTGTACTACGAAGCCAGTTCAACATACCCTGGATATGTTTGAGTAACAAACAAACTAACAACAACAAACTAACAAACGAGATCTCGCTAAGCGGTCCTACGACGCTGGTTATCAACTCGGTAAATCAAGCCAGGGTTTCTCTCACCAGCTGAGAGCGCGTTGACGTCTAAGACACCAGTGGATCTGACTTTAATTACATTTGACTCGAGTGTTTCGTCAACATAATGTGTTGCTTAAAATAATACTTCTGCGTACAGTATGTGACACTGTAAGTGTTGCACGGCCAGATACGGCTGGAGAAGCTGACTCAGATAAGGAAATATATGATATATTATGATATTATATGATCGATGATCTGATTGATGATGTAATATGAATGATAAGTGCGACACGTCGGCGTCTTCTCTGCATACGGCAGTTTAAACTGTATTTCCTTTATCCTGTAATATGACTTGAGAGATTTAAACTCCGCACACGGAGTTGATCTCTTTTCTATAGACGCCGGAGGCGGGCAGCGTCAGGTAAAACAAGTTATTTAGCCTTCCCAAACCTGAGCCTCACGCGCCGCCTATGGGGGATGTGCTAGTGATTTATCCGACCGGCCCACTTCGGTACCGGCCCATCGGGATTCGTCCCGATGGCCAGTTCGCCACTGCACCCAGCCCACGTAAACTGTCAACGGGGGGAGCCTCGCTGCGGGGAAACGGTGGACCTAATGTCCCGATCAGAGTGGGAATAATAATAATAATCCGTGCATTTTATCCATTAATTTCCCCAACATTGTGGTGAAAAAACCACACGTTTAATCCATGTTGGTGTACTACAACTTCAAAAAGCATCGGTTTGTTTTCTCATCAGGAAATGCAGACCGGCTCAAACAAACGATTTTTAATCATCATTCTCACGATCATTTAATCTATCATATGTTCGCCGAATTGACATGAAAGCACTAATAAAATGTAGTTTCATCCACTTGAGTTTACAACTACAAAAATAATGGATTTGTTTTTATATCACATCCGACGGGAGGAAATTCAGTAGCTCTCACTACCGATTTTGAATCCTAATGTAATCATCATCTTCACCACGATCATTTATGTTTATGTTCGCCGAATTGACATGAAAGCACTGACAAATATGAATATACTGTAGTCAACTTCATTAAAACGTTATTAACGTGCCTAAACTCAGTAATTCACCATTTCTACGCATGACAACACACTTTGTCCGTGTTTGGCTCTCTCGCCGCACAGTGAAGCGTTCCCGCATTGACGTCACTTCCGGCTTCCCCCAAAACTTCAAAATGATGACGGCCCGTACACACAGCAGCTTTTGGCGATTTGTCCACCGCTTCCAGCGCGTCTCCGCCCATTGACTTTGAATGGGGATGACGTCACTTTCCCTCGCTTGTCGCCGAACTGCATTGTGGGGGGGCGAGGCGAAGATTTCCAGGATTTCCAGGATGTTGTGTGTCCACACAGCAGCTTTGACCAAATCTTGAAAATCCTGGAGCTGGGCGTGTCTGACAGCTTGGGGATTTCGCGACCAACAACCAATCACATGAATATCACATGAATATCCCGCCCCCGACATACAAAGCAAAAAAAAACGGTTCTTCTACACTATTGTCAAATAGGAAGGGCTATGATGAACATTTATTTTTTTAACATTTTGAACATTTATGAGATTAATGTTTATGGTGCTATTTTATGCTACATTCCATGCTGGCTAATGATACTGTCTATGCTTGCTAGCAACGAAGTAAACTAGCAACGAAGTAAACTGGATATAAAATCCCCAAACAAGCGAAAACCTACCAGTTTCACCCACTGTCTCTGCCACCTCCCTCCATGCCTGGTTCCTCCGGTTTGTATCCCGGTAAGTAAATAGGGACTGGTTATAAAGAACCGGGTGATTTGCTACCGCAATAACTAACTTCTCCTCCATTTTTGTGGAATATAGAAATGAACTGCGGGTCTGGTTCTCCCAGCTTGCACGCGGTTTGATTGGCTAGCGCTTGAACTGTCAGATTTGCATAAACGGATCTGATTGGCTGTCGCTTCCAGCTCAGCCTCAAAAGTTGAACATTGTTCAACTTTGGAATCCTGAACATCCTGAAAATCCTGGAAATCTTCGCCTCGCCCCCCCACAATGCAGTTCGGCGACAAGCGAGGGAAAGTGACGTCATCCCCATTCAAAGTCAATGGGCGGAGACGCGCTGGAAGCGGTGGACAAATCGCCAAAAGCTGCTGTGTGTACGGGCCGTGTTCAGGATTCCAATGTTGAACAATGTTCAACTTTTGAGGCTGAGCTGGAAGCGACAGCCAATCAGATCCGTGTATGCAAATCTGACAGTTCAAGCGCTAGCCAATCAAACCGCGTGCAAGCTGGGAGAACCAGACCCGCAGTTCATTCTATATTCCTAACAAAAATGGAGGAGAACTTAGTTATTGCGGTAGCAAATCACCCGGTTCTTTATGACCAGTCCCTATTTACTTACCGGGATACAAACCGGAGGAACCAGGCATGGAGGGAGGAGGCAGAGACAGTGGGGGAAACTGGTAGGTTTTCGCTTGTTTGGGGATTTTATATCCAGTTTACTTCGTTGCTAGTTTACTTCATTGCTAGCAAGCATAGACAGTATCATTAGCCAGCATGGAATGTAGCATAAAATAGCACCATAGACATTAATCTCATAAATGTTTAAAGAAATAGTGGAGAAGAACCGGGGTTTTTTGCTTTGTATGTCGGGGGCGGGAGATTCATGTGATTGGTTGTTGGTCGCGAAATCCCCAAGCTTTCAGACACGCCCAGCTCCAAGATTTTCAAGATTTTTGAAAAGCTGCTGTGTGGACGTACTGAGTCGAAGGAATTTCCCCGCGATGTTCGAAATTATTGATATTTAACGGAACGGTATCGCTTTTTCTTTTTTAAACTGACGGTTCGAGATTACTAGTAGCCCAATATTTCATTGCACAACAGTTGTTGGGATGCTGTCACAGGCTCTTTAAGTTGTTCTGTATGTGTGTGCAAAATGACTGTTTGTTTGCCAAAAATGTCCTTGAAGCAAAAATAGTATAATGAATGCTGCACTTCTCCTGTCTGCCTGGCACATAACGGCTACAATAGGCTGTAGATGTGTTACATAAATCTAAATCTAGTAATCAAAAACATTATTAACAGCACTCCCCCACTTCTGATTTCTTTCTGCAAGGCTTCGTAAACATAACATAGGTTTTCTCCTCCTTGGACAGTAACAGCAGGTGTACTCTGTGTCCAGGGGCCTGCACTTGTTTCCATTGTCGAACTCTGTATAGATGTTCTGCTTTTCTAGTCTTAAGACATGACAGTTGTGGTGTTTTCTGCTCAGGCCATGCCCCTCAGTCGAATGGGCAGTCAACCTAACTGTCCCCGGCTATTATTCTGCACAGTGAGCATTAATTCTTCTGTGGCACTGCATTGTGAAGGGTGAGTGGTCAACTGGGCACAAGCACGAGTGGTGGAAAACAGTATAATCTATAATTTAATCCAACAGCAAGATAGCAGGCTAATGCTTTAACTAAACTGATACGTTACTTACTGTAACTGGTGCTTTCCAAGTACACCACACAAACAAAGGAATCAAAGATAAATAATATGATAAACCCTTGTCATGTAGTAATTTTATGTCAATGCTTCAAAGCAGCTATTTCTCCAGGTAAGTGCCTACGATTGAGTAACATTGATCGGTTACTCTCCCTCCGCAGATTGTAACATTAGAGTCGGAGCTAATGCAGCTGATGAAGCAGAACGGCATCCAGGTGAACAACAACAACAGCAACAGTGCTGAGAGGCTCGGCGCTCAGCAGAGCAGCCCCAACAGAGCGGCAGCAGCCAGAGGTGAGTATGGGAGGGGACCCCTACTCACTTCCAGGAGCATTATTATTATATAGATTTAAATTAATAGTTTGGGGAACTGTTCAGAGTGAGAATTAGGTAAAAAGATCAATACTACGCTCCTACCTGTCATAACACAAATTAAACATGTTATTTATTGAGCTTAGTCGGTCGGTTGATTTTTCACAACATATCAACAAAGTAATGCTAGCTGCTTCCCACTGTTCCCTAAATGTATGCTAAGCAAAGTTAACAGTCTCCTGGCTCTAGTTTCCTATTGAACGGCCAAACGTGTGAGATGTTCCCATATATCTCTTAGACAATTGATGTTTCCTAACATGCAGAACTATTTATTTAGGCTCTCAATTATTTTTATTTCATGTTTCTATCTGCTTCAGAGACTAAGAAGTATAGGTTTCAGTGAATACTTTGGTAGATATTTCAGAAAATGTTTTAGTAGGTTGTTTTCTAACCATGGCTAGGTGAAGGTCTAAATGGATTAATACATTTAGTGACCGGTCAAATAGGAGATAAATAGATCACCTGAACATCTCTATATAGTTTTGATACAATCTTAAATAAACTTCCCAGTTGCATAAAATAATTGACTAAGTACCAAGATGTATTTGTCTAAAACATAAGCCATGATGACGTATCCCATCAGCATTATGATGACCCTTTTTTCAGCCCCTGCAGTTTATTGACTTTCTTGCCCTCTGAAGGACATTTTAAAAAGATCAGCGTCTTGTGTGGCTCAGAAACACAAATGTAATACAATACAAACACACACACACACACACACACACACACACACACACACACACACACACACACACACACTGATGCTTGGATTTCCTACACACACATCCTCCTCCTCTGCTTTGAACTTCACACACGCTTCACCTCTGACCCTAGTTTCACCTCTGCAAACAAAAACAAACTTGTAATCCCTTTGAGCGCATCTGTCTGGTTTTGTTCTCCTCAAGTCTTTTTAAGCTCCGCCGACTTCATTTCAGCGAGCGCATCTGTCAGAGTGGAGTGTGCACAGACTATATCTGATACTGTACAGTGCAGACGGGATAAGAGAGTGATTGGATCTGCGCTAATCCGAGTGACGCATTCCATTATGCAATATTAACAAGGGGGGGGGGGGGGGGGAGACTGCTGGAACAGGATGTAAAGGAGAGAGTGAACATGTGGGAGGAGAAGACAGAAGCTGATGAAATGATTTCAGTTTTTGTCTCCTGACAGCGTCTCCCTGTGCACTCAGGAAATGAGCAGAAATATGATAATTGCCTGCCTAATTATTGGTGTTACTTTTGAGGGAGGACTTGATATTCTTACTGCATTGATGTATTTTTAATAGACTAATTCAGCCATGCTAAATGGAGTAATTCTTAATAAGACAACAGAAGAAAGAAAGGCACATAATTAAAGGACAAAGGCTTCTGGTGAACAAATGGATCAGACAGTGTGTTCTTTTTATGATGTCAAGTTAAATCACAGTTGGTTTGACTCTCTCTTTCCTTTGTGTGTGTGACTCTAGACCCCAGGGAGGGCTCTCCATACTCACCCAGCAAGAAGAAGAGCCTGAGAGTCCGAGACAGCATCAGCTCCACTGAAGGAGAGGTTGGTTTCAAAACACACACACCTGCACATTTTCCTTTTTCAGTGGCAAACAGATTTCTAATTGATTTTACAATATCAACCAGTGTGTGTTTTAGAATCAGGTTTATTGCCAAGGTTTACACACAAATGTGATTTGGTGTATAATGGTGCAGAGAGGAATAAAGTTGTACACATATTTATTTTTAACTACTTTAAAAACCATATAACATTTAAAAAGAAATGTTGCTATGAATACAAATATACTCATAATTAGGTATAATACAATTATGGCATATTACTTGTTAAGTGACATTAATAAATAATTACTACTCCTATTAGAATATTCTTAAAGTGATTGTCTTTAATTTACCACAGGGTGTGTGTGTGTGTGTGTGTGTGTGTGTGTGTGTGTGTGTGTGTGTGTGTGTGTGTGTGTGTGTGTGTGTGTGTGTGTGTGTGTGTGTGTGTGTGTGTGTGTGTGTGTGTGTGTGTGTGTGTGTGTGTGTGTGTGTGTGTGTGTGTGTGTGTGTGTGTGTGTGTGTGTGTGTGTGTGTGTGTGTGTGTGTGTGTGTGCGTGCGTGTGCATTAGCATATTTTCGTGTGTTTTCCCCCTGTCCATTCCGCTGTGCTCCTCTAATAGATTAATTGCTACGTGTTGCTCTGCAGCGCTAACTGAGTCTGTGGCGCTGTCACAACTCCTCGTCTCTCCCGGTGCGATTATAACAGCCACTGTGTCCTTCTGGATGAAAGGCTAACTTAACTCAGCAAGAGCAGCGATGAGTTCAGATTGGATGAACATCTTCAGATCAGACTTGGCAGGCAGTGTGAGGCTTCCAGGGGAAACCAGGGCGATGAATTAGAAATGGTGAAAGTATGTCAAGTGACTTCTTTCAGATTAGTCTGCAGCTTCGGATGTTCGGAACACTTTTCATTTGATTGCACTTTTTTCTTCTTGTTTTTGTGACCTCTTCTGAGCTCTCTTTCAGTATTTCCATTCATTTTCAATTCCAACCTTTTCTTTCTTTCCTCATCTGCCCTCATATCACATTTCCCCCTCCCTTCTCCTCCATTTGCTTCATCTTTATTTCTCTTTCCTCCCTTTACGTCTGTCTCCAGGTCTCAGAGGGGCATGGCAGTCCCGCCCACAGTCGATCTGGTTCGATTCGTAGTGTGGCTTCTTATGATGGAGGGGTCCTCAGAGACCCTGGCAGCGCAGAGAGCTCCCCCAGACGAACACTGCACCATCCGTCCACTGCAGGTCAGTGCTTACGTCATCCCATAATAAAATAATAATAAAAGATTGAATAGTCCCAAAAACATCTGTAATATATCTCATTTGTGATCTCAATGAGGGATGTTTGTGATCGCAGGTTCTCAGTCTCCTGCCATGTCAAGCCCCTCGCACGGTGTGGATGAAAACAGACAAGCAACAGATCCTGGGTAAGAGGACACACAGCAGAATTGTTTTTTTTTTTTTATCACATACCATTTAACTGATTCAATAGGAAACTATAGGTTACTTACGTAACCCCAGTTCTCAGAGTAACATGAAGTGAGATGTCTCACTATGGGATGCGCCTCATCGCGGAGCAAACAGAAGCATCAATCTCATTACGCCAATCCTGATTGGCTGGTGATCTTGACGTCAGCGTCAGGGAAATCACCCCCTATAAGTAGCTTGCGCCACGACGCATGCGCCATTCAAAATAAGCACCTCTTCTCGCTTCACCATAGCAAGGAGGGCCGTCTGGTGAGACATCTCACTTCATGTTACTCTGAGAACTGGGGTTACGTAAGTAACCTATAGTTCTCATTCATAACACTCCGTTCGATGTCTCACTATGGGAAATTGTAGCTCCCGTATTGCCAGACGAGCTTATCTCGAAAATCACCAAACCAACCAGAACTTAACAGGTAGAGCTCTGACTCAACCAGGTGCCCAGCACTGCTTGAGTCACACTGGGAGCAGAACATCCAGCCTGTTAGGAGGCAGACAAAAGTGAGCGGCGAGGACCAGCTCGCCGCTGCACCAATGTCTTTGATGGGAGACATCCTGGACAGAGTCCAGAATGCAGCCAAACCCTGAGTCGAAAGAGCTCGCGGACCCGAGGGTGCCTGCGAACTCTGACTCGTATGAGCCCCAAAGCAATTGCTTCCACAGACCAGTGGGAGAGCCGTTGCTTAGTAACAGGCTTGCCCTTGTAAGGGTTAGCCCAGGACACAGGGTTGGTCATTATGACAAAGCACCCTTGATCTGTCCCTGTACGTGCGTGAAGCACGGGCTGGACACGGCAAATCCGGCCGCTGTTCCCCGGAGGAATACAGTGGCGGGGAGGATGCCTCAATGTCAAATGTGGTACCCGAACCGACCGCCTTAAGATAAAGGCAGGGTTAGGCTTCAACCACACTCTGTCTGCCCTGGGGCAAACTGAGTGCATGAAAACTGTACAGATAGTGCATGAGTGCCACTGGCTCGCTTGGCAGCTGCCAGGGTCAGCGTCATGTCACACTGTATTTAGATTGTACCACTCACGGGCCAGGCCCATAGAGCCAAGCGCTCTGGGTGTGGGTGAAAGATCGCCCCCCCCGCTTGGGACAGTATGTCCCTGCGTAGTGGGAGCTGCCATGGCTGCCCGCACAGCAGCTGATATATCTCCGCTAGCCAGTACATAGCTGGCCAGTGCGGAGCTATCAGGATAAGTGTGTGGCGTTGCTCTCTCACTCTGGCCAGAGTTGGGGGTATCAGAGCCAGGGGTGGGAACGCGTACAGAAGGCCCGGGGGCCAATTGTGCGCGAGTGCATCCACGCCTAACGGTGCATTTAGATCGCGCATCGAAAAGAACAGCTGACACTGAGCGTTGTCTTTCGATGCGAACAGATCCACCGCGGCTCTGCCGTAACGCACCCACAGCTGGCTCACAATCCTTGGATGTAGAGTCCAGTCTGCATAAAGTGGTATACCTCTGGACAGTAGATCTGCCCCGAGGTTCATCACTCCCGGTACGTGCGTCGCTCTCAGAGAGAGGAGACGTCTCCCGCTCCATAGGATAAGTTTGCGCGCCAGTGTGTGTAACTGGAGAGAACGCAAACCCCCTTGGCGGTTAATATACGATATTGTGGTCGTATTGTCTGTCCTCACGAGGACGTGATGTCCCCTGAGGAAAGGCAGAAAGCGTTTTAGGGTGAGAAACACCGCTAAAAGCTCCAGGTAATTTATGTGTGCCCGCTGGAGGTCTCTGCTCCAGAGACCCCTCACCAGGCGACCTTCATAAATACCTCCCCAACCTGTCAGACATGCGTCCGTGGTGACCACATTCCGTGAAAGGACAGCACCCATAGGCACACCTCGTACTAGAAAAGTCGGGTGCAGCCAGTGGCGCAGTGCCATTACGCATTTCACAGTAACCATCACTCTCCGCGCGCCATGGCGCGCGGGGTTTAGTTTTAGGGCGGCCACCCAGCGCTGAAACTCCCTCATGTTTAAGCGTCCCAGTCGTACGACCAGGATGGCTGATGCCATGAGCCCCAGCAATCGTAGGCATGATCTGAAGAGAACATGTTTGCGCAGCTAGAAAAGAGCGAGACAAGCTCTGAAAGCTTTCACTCTATCCGCTGACAAGCGAGCTGAAAAGGGCACCGAGTTCAGGTGTAAACCCAGGAAGAGTATAGTCTGCGCGGGGCACAACATGCTCTTCTCTGTGTTTATTATGAAACCCAGGTTGAGCAGGTGCTTTACGAGGACATTTGTCTGCGTAACAGCCTCCTGCTCCGACTGTGCAAGAAGCAGCCAGTCGTCCAGGTAGGTCGCCAGGCGAATACCCTGTTGTCTTAACGGGGTTATCGCGGCTTCCGTACATCGTACAAACACCCTTGGACTGAGAGACAGACCAAAGGGGAGTACTCTGTATTCATAACAGATCCCCTGAAATGCGAATCTCAGATATTTCCTGTGTGGGTAATATACTGGGATGTGAAAATACGCATCTTTCAGGTCGACTGATGTGAACCAGTCGTCTTGTCGCACGAGCCGCAGCAGAGATGTGTGAGTGAGCATTCTGAACTTATATCTTCTTAGATATTTGTTCAGAGCCCTCAAATCAAGTATTGGCCGAATTCCGTTCCCTCCCCGTTTGGGAACGAGGAAGTACTTGGAATAGAAGCCGCCCTGACTCTGCTCTGCGGGTACAATAGATATAGCCCTCTTCTCTAGGAGAGAGAGAGAATCTCTTTCTCCAGAATATGGGCTGACTCTCCTCGGGCCTGCGAATGCAGAATGCCCGAGAAGCGAGGGGGGGTGACAGCGAATTGGAGTCTGTAGCCCCGTGTTACTGTCTTGAAAACCCAAGCAGATGATGTGAGCATCTTCCACTGCATGCTCCTTAGAGCCAGTGGAGATGTCACATCTCTTCCCCTCTGAGTCTCTATTTGTTGTGTTATGGGGCCCTCTAGTGTCTGAACACAGTGGTGCCCCTTTTCGACAATCCCCACCGACACTGCGCATGCGCATGACGGTGGTGCCTTCACAACCCCAGCCGGCACTGCGCATGCGCGTGGCGGTGGTGCTTTTAAAACCCCAGCCGGCACTGCGCATGCGCGTGACGGTGGTGCCTTCACAGACCCGCCTGTAATCCGCCTTTTGAGAGATGCCGTAGCTGCTCTCAGAAGGGGAACAGTTGACGGGCTGTTTATTGGTTTTATTGTTTTTCTTATAATTTTTTTGAGCTGCGCCCTCGGCCTGAAGCCTGGATGCGTCAGCGGCAAATGTTTTATGACAGAGGAACAAACAGATTTGTGACATGTGTTTTTGCGGACTTGAGGATGGTGTTGAGGCATCTCTCGAGGCGGCAGGAACACATTTAGAGCTGGGGAACCGTGGACTTCCAGCTCTGTCACGGAGGGGAGAAGGAGGGGCTGTCACGCCGCTCGCTTCTTCTTCCTCGCCTGTTGGCCGAAATTCTGGGTTGGCTGCGCCTGAGCTGCAGCCGGAACCGGAGATTTTCTGGGCTAGCTCGCCCTCGTCTCCAGCCTGGGCTGGGGACTCGGGGCGGGCTGCGACCTCTGCATTTTCGGTGTTTTAAACCGAGCAGGGTTCAAGGCAGCTTGGGCGAAGGACTGCTGCTGCGAAGGACTGCTGCTGCGAAGGCAGCGGCTGGACCCTTCGAGGGAGGCAGAGGTGGAGTGCCTCGTCCTCCCTCTTTTTCGACTCACACCTCCTTTGCATGGAAGCAAGAGCGGAGCCGAAAATTCCCTCGGGAACGATGGGCATATCCAGCACATCCTCCTTTTCCCGGTCTGGGAGGTTGGTGAGGTTGAGCCATCTCGCTCTTTCCTGCACCACCATGATCCCCATTGCCTTACCCGTGGCCTGGACGGCGCAGCGTTGGACACGGAGACAGATGTCTGTGACCGCTGCCATCTTGTCCAGAGTGGCTGCCCCCGGGTTACCCGACAGGTCCTCGCAGAGCTCCGCTTGGTAAGCGGTTAGCAGCGAGGCCACATTCAGGGCCCTGGCGGACAACGCTGCGGCTTTGTAGGACCGTTCAGTCATTGTCGACTGAAATCGGTCCGACTTTGCCGGCAGCGTGGGGTTCCTGCTTGGTGACGGGCCCATCCTCGGTAGGAGGTGGGCTGCTACCAGCGGTTCCATGGGCGGTATGTGGAGCAGGCCGAGCTTCTCCATTCCGTCACAGTCTAGGGAGGAGGCACCCTGGATTGGGACCTTGTTGCTGAAGGGCCGGTCTCTCCACGAGACCGACACCTCATCCAACATCTCCGGGAAGACCGGAAGGAGTTGCCTCTTTGTCCGCGCTGCTTGGGGAAAATGTTTCCCTTCGTAGCGGGACCTGGAGGTCTCCTTGGCCATTTCAGGCCACGGGATGTCGAGTCTGGCCGCAGCGCGTTTGCACACGGCCTGCAGGTCCATGCTCAGACAGGGCGAAGCTGGTGTGCTATCGTCTGGGAGAGCAGCCCTCGCTCCAGGCTTTGCAGCCTGAGCCGATGACATGAAGATGTCCTCTTCATGTTCATCCGACTCAGACAGGAGGAACACCGAGGCGTCCTCTTCGTCCTCGTCGTAGTTCAGCTCGAGGACATCCTCCGCGGGTGAGACCATGGTGAGGTCTAACCGGGAGCCCCAGCTCGGTAAAGCGTGGGGTCCCGTTCCCGCGTGTCTTGCCGTCACCGGGTCCCGGCCTGCCAGGGCGCGGGAATCCGGTTCTGCGGCCATCGCAGATACTGAGCCCCAGACCGACATGGAGAGGGGTTCACTCTCTGTGGCGGATGCCCCCGCGTCTTGACTGCCGGCTGGCAGGTCAGAGGACATGGGGGGGTCCTGTTCCGACAGGCTAGCTTGGCGTGCTAGCCTTCGGCGGAGGTTCTTTACGGTGAAGCGGACACAATGTCCGCACGAGCCGGGGTTGTCGATAGCGCCTCGGGCGTGTTCCAGCCCGAGGCAGGACGAGCAGACCTGGTGTGTGTCTGTGCCCGAGATCTTCAACCCGCAGCCGCAGAGTCGAGCCACCGAGTCCCTGACTCCTCTGGTGTGAGGGAGAGGGGCGTCCATCTTGTTCGCCTCGTGGCGTGGAGAGGACCCGCTCTCAACAGGTAGGTCGGGAGAAAAAGAGGTTACCACCCTGTCCTTAATCCGGAGAAAAGGACGGTGTGGGTCTTTTATTCCCGAAGAATACTGACTGGTGTGGCAGTATGCTCCTGTTAATCCTTTCCTCCTCCGTGGGGAAGAGAAAAGAAAAAACTTCCTCGCTACCGTGGTGTCGGTAGTGAGGGAGCAAGCTAACGCTAGCTTGAAAAAGTCAGACCTAGCTTTCTTTCCGGGGAAAGAGAGCGTCGAGGTCGATTTCAACAATAACTAGCGTTAGTAATTACCGTCTTCCTGCGAAGCAGAAGGAGTAGCCGGCGAGCGCCCGTCGACCGAAATGGTTATTTGGGTTCAGTCTGTGGACCGTTAAGCTTGTCCGGCTACCATAGAGATGTGCTCTGAAGCGAGAAGAGGTGTTTGAATGGCGCATGCGTCGTGGCGCAAGCTACTTATAGGGGGTGATTTCCCTGACGCTGACGTCAAGATCACCAGCCAATCAGGATTGGCGTAATGAGATTGATGCTTCTGTTTGCTCCGCGATGAGGCGCATCCCATAGTGAGACATCGAACGGAGTGTTATGAATGAGAACAGCTGATTCATTTTTCACGATTATTTGGGGCCAACATTCCTTATTTATCCCAATAAAGCATATATAGTAGGGATGTAACGATATATCGCGATATCGCGGTAAATAAATGTGTCAATACCGTCGTGAGACTGACAAAATCTACCGCGATTTAAAAAAAAAAAAATTAAATATATATATTTTTTATAATAAAAAAAAAAAAAACTTTATTTAACCAGATGGTCCCATTGAGATCATCAATCTCTTGTTCAAGGGAGACCTGTCCAACTTGGCAGCAAGTAGGTTACAACATGAACATAAAAAAACTTCTTGGCAAAAACTGTATTGTTTTTGAAGTGGTGGAGAGACAATGCACAGTTTTACCCACTGCTGTCACCCATGGCCAAAGCATATCTCTCTGTCCCAGCAACATCAGTGCCAAGCAAGAGAGTTTTTTCCACAGCAGGGGATATTGTAAACGCCCAAACATCCCAGCTTCTACCTCAAAATGTGGACATGCTCATATTCCTAAAAGATAACCTTGATGATGCTGAGTGAGTGAGTTAGTGAGTTAGAGTTGAGTTACTTGAAAAACTAAAGTGAAACATGATGTATTCTATTGCAGGGTCTGATTATTATATTGTTGACACTTTAAAATACTACTATCCTACTAAAATGCTGTACAAATCAGATTTTGTATTCAATATCGCGATAAATATCGTACCGTGGACTTTTTATCGCGATATTATCGTACCGTCAATTATTTAAAAGGAAAGGATATGATGAGAAAGCTACCATTGATGGGATAATAAAACTAAAAGATGTATGAAATAATTACAACCATTTTTAACCAAAATAATTAACTTTCTAATTACATTTCTAGTTTTTAATTAAAGTATTATAAGAAACTAAATTGACATCGTACTGGAAATATGTGTAACTGTTGAAAATGACATATTCTTTAAGAGTGAAGAAGGAATTAAGTTTTGATATGGTACTTAATACTACATTGCTAGTTTGCTAACTGTAAACTGTATATGATTTACTATTACGACAAAGATCCCAGAGCATCACCTGAACAGGTCAATAATAACACCATCAGAGTTCTACTGTTTTCTTTGTTATGGTCCTGGCATTAAATTACATATTGTGGGTCAATGACGAGCAGAACATCTGGATATTTGTTGTTATATCTCAATGAGTCCAGCTCCAGAAACTCTTAATGAATATGTGGTACAGTAATCATCTTGACTCACTTTTATTTGATTGCCCTCCCTCTCAGCTCCACAGAGCCGTCAGCAGAGGACAGTCCAGGAAAACTCACGGCTAAGGTACATGAGGTTTGGTTATTTCACATTTGGCAAATAATGATTCACTTCACAGATACTGTCCTTTAATATAACTATATATATTTACATACAATAAGTTTGAAGTTTTTATGCTATGACATTTAGCTTTGATGTGTTGTGTTATTTCTGTTGGACAGAACTACCTTACATGGCCCCACTTCTTCTCCTATTCATATTACTTGGTATTGTATTATTTTGTGTTTTCCTTAATTGTACCTCAATCCACTGAAAGGGAAATGAGTTGGTACAGGTAAACAGGGTTAAATTAGATAATAAAGGGAATTAATGCTATGCAAAAATACTTGATTTCATTGTTAATAGCAAGATAATCACTGAATAATCCTAAATATTTTTAATAATCAATGACTTTCGCTACATAACAATCTTCTGAATGGTCTATTTTGAAGTATTAAAATCAGTTTCCTAGTGTTGCCCTTACAAATAATTTGTTTCATAACTCATCTTCAATAAGCTACATGTCCTACTGATGCAATAAGATTAAAGTCATTAACATGGACATCCTTTGCCGTGTAGGAACTTGCATGAAAACAGTTTCTAATCCTGTGTAATATCACATGTGGTTACCCAAGGATTCAAACGGAGATTATTTTTTGATACTGCACTAACCAAATCCATTTCTCTCTCCAAGGACATGCTCTGAGCTTGATATGGATAAATCAATGCAGAATGTTTTCGCATTAGTAGTTATGTGGAGCTTTTAAGTGAGGATTCAGCCCGGAGAGCTAAAGGTCTGAACCTGGAGGATTAGTTTCGCTTTCACCACAGACAGTACTGATATTCAGAGAACTCCATAAAGCTACAGTTTTAGCTGAATGTAAGAAGCTTTAGACCAGTGGTCCCCAAAAAAAGTAACAAAAGAAAGAAAAATAAAATAAAAATAATAATGTTTGAAAAATAAGTTTTTAGATGTAAACCTATCATCCACCACCCCGTTAGCAGGTGCCACTTGATTGACGTATATTTGTTAATAATACATTAACCGTGCTTTACGTGAACCCTATGTGATCTTGGGCTTAAAAAGGTTGGTGACCACTGCTTTAGACTTTAGACTCAAAATGTTGCAAAAAGAAAAACCGTTACATTCCAGGAAAACAAACTTATGTATTAACTTTTTCTCCTCCCAATTGTCCATATTTCTCAGTAGCAGCAGCGGCTTGTCGCTGCGTGTTTTAGCACAATCATAATACTGTCCTGTAATTCAACAAATGTCCACACTCTGGCACACTCACAAGGACGCAGGACAAAACACTATCACATTCACAGTTGATGGAATATCTTAAAATGAGATGTCTGCATAACATCTCAGGGTCTTTCAAACTGCTTAGATGCATTAGTCAAATGTACTTCCATTGTCTTTATAATTTATGGAATGTCAAATATTAGGAAGAAACACATCAATCTTTCTGCTCAGAGGAAATGTCTTCTTGCTCCTGATTCACTCTCTCCTCTTCCACTCTTTAAGAAATAGAAATAGAGACACACTCCCTCTAATCAACTAAATTCAGCCTCAGTGCCAGTTGGCTCACGAGTCTTATGAGTGTGTTGTTGATTTCTCAGGGCCCCGCTCTGAATGATGATCTGAGCGCCAGCAGCAGCAGCTCGGTGGAGATCAGCGGCCTGCTGAGTGAAGCCAAGATGTCGGGACGCTCACACACACTGATGCTCTCCTCAGATGAGGTACACATACTCAAATATTTTCTTTTTTATTGAAGGTTGTGGAAGGGGATGCAATGCAATATCAAAAATGTTTAAACAAATAATTTACCTGAGCTTGATTCAACCACATCAAAGTTGATTGCTGTAGTTCAAGCCATACTTTTATACCAATGTTTAAAACCCGATATCTCTGTTGTTTTTAATGCTGCCACATTCAGAGTCTGGATATGATAGATGATGAGGTGAGACCTGTGCTTTACTGCATGCTTGTGTTCATGTGTCTGTTCAGTGTATGACATTTGTCTGTTTTTCATACCCACACATCATTCATGGTGTTTATCAAAGAGTAATATATGTTGCTAAAGAAAATAGTTGCTTGTTGGGATGTTCATGTGTCCTTTCTTCTGAACTCATTATAAATGACCACTGTGAAAAAGAGACACTGTTCATAGTTAAATCTTGCATGTTAGAGATGTAAACAGATGCTTTTTCCTCTCTGTTCCTGTCTGTCTCTCTTGCTGTTCAGATCCTGGACGAGGCACAGTTTTCGAAGCAGTATCAGTGGCAGAACAGCAGCATCGCAGAGTGGACCCCCCAGCAAGTGGCCCGCTGGCTCATGGGCCTCAACTTGGAACAACACATCCCAGAATTCACTGCCAAAAACATTGATGGAGAGCAGCTGCTGCAGCTGGAGAGTCCTGAGCTTAAGGTATGTTAAAGGTGGTTATACAAACATAGTACAGCCAATGTGAACAGCAAATAGCAGTGTACTGTAGCTATTCCAAAAATATGTTCGGTGAGTTCAGAAACATAGTTTGTCCTAAAGAGACATGTGACATGTTATTCAACTATAAAATGATATTAAAAAACAAAATGCACGCAATGGTCAACTTAAATGCCTTCAAAGTATAAAGGAAAATACAGTTTTCAGCATTTGTAAATAAGTAATTAGCGCTTTAAATGATGACGCTTCAGCCCTAGATTTTCCTCAGGGTTTAGTAGTATGTTTTTCTCTTCCTAGTAGTTTATCTTTGGCGATGTTGTAAAATTAATACAAATATAAGTACATACTTATGCATACATGCGTACATACTTCCATCCATCCATCCATCCATCTTCTCCCGCTTATCCGTGGTCGGGTCGCGGGGGTAGCAGTTCCAGCAGAGAGCCCCAAACTTTCTTTTCCCTGGCGACATTAACCAGCTCTGACTGGGGGATCCCAAGGCGCTCCCAGGCCAGCGAAGAGATATAATCCCTCCACCTGGTCCTAGGTCTACCCCTTGGTCTCTTCCCAGCTGGACGTGCCTGGAACACCTCCCTCGGGAGGCGCCCAGGTGGCATCCTAACTAGGTGCCCGAACCACCTCAACTGGCTCCTTTCGAGGCGAAGGAGGAGCGGCTCAACTCCGAGTCCCTCCCGGATGTCATACTTATGCATGTTTATTTGTTTCAGGCCCTTGGAGTTACTTCTTCCCAGGACCGTGCCCTGATCAAGAAAAAGATCAAAGACCTTAAACTTCTGATGGAGAAGGCCAAGAGGAACAGAGAGAAAGTGGAGAAACAACGCGAGAAGCTACGGAAGAGAGAGCTGGAGGAGCAGCAGAAAGAGGAGCGCAAAGAAAGTGCGGCAGAGTGAAGTGAATTGTTGGATCACCTGCCGCGTTACTGTAGCACCACACCACGTAGCATCTCGAGGAACAGAACGTCAGTAGGCCCCACAAATGAACCCTGAGGGACACCTGCTCAGTAGTTCAATAGTTCTCAGTGGTTAAGCTACAAACCCAACTGTCGGAGATTGTTAAGTGACTTTTTCACCAAGAGAATCAAACCAAAATGAGCAGTTGGATAAAAAAAGATCCTGCCCCGTTAATTTGCCTCATTTTACACCCATCCTGTGTTTTTAGCCATTTAAGATTTTACTCGGTTCTATTTATTTGCTTTTAATTGCTGTAAATTAGGTTTATTTATTCATATGCAGAGTAAGTCTGTGGAGTTAATCTCATTCTATATCATCGTCAGAGCCGTCTACATTACCCATCACAGCACCCGTAGATATTACATCCATGTACAGTGATAAATACAGATATGTCTCATGTGCCATTTTGATAGACTTATGTATATCCTGTTCAGAATCGGTGAAATCGCTCTTTTGATTCGCCGAAGCACATACAGGTCGGGCCTGTGTGGTGGAATACATGAGGCAGTACTTATCTCCCACCACTGGGTGTCCCCACGCTGCTTACTTTCACTACTGAAGGAGGCAACACTGGAACTTTCCTACAGGAGCTGAAGCAACTTTCATTGAGAGAAATAGCTCTCCTGATAATTGCAAGAACACTGGAAGTGGAAACACTGTAAATGTAACCTCTGCACTGGCTTGTCCAATGCTGCTTACAGTATACATGTACCATAGAAAGCGGTTCACACGGTATGATTGATGAAGAGGACATATTGAACTGGTTCTAATGGATACTTCAGGTACAATGTAATGATAACATGTGTAACTTACCAAACCTGTACCAGAAAAACAAAAAAAATGTTAAATGGAACTTCCTGCTTATATGCATAATGTGGCTTTGACACCGCTTGTAACCTGCTTTTGACCTCTTTTTATATTCTCTCTCAATAACAAAGTTATTCCCCGCCGCTGCCTTTAGAAATTCTAGAGAAGTTGAATTTTTCTGAACACTACCCGCTTCTGTGTGAGTATAGAAACACATACAGTTAACATTTCTAACATTTTTTTTTCATGAAAATGTACAGTTAACCATGCAAAACACTTTGGAATATTCTGAATATTATTAGGGAATGCTGCCATATAGACGAGTCATCTCTGTGATGCAGGACAGATGCAGGATGCACCTAATACTACTGATATTACACTGGAATTTGCAACTGATAGATGCAATATACTTTGAACTTACCTGTAAAACTGGTTCAATAAGACTTTTGACTTACTTGTTAGATAAAAAAAAGATAAACCTTTTGAAATTATTTTGTATTTTATGCAATTATTGTTTTAGGATTACGAGACATGCTCCCTGTGTTACTTCTTGAGCATTCCCGAGAATCATTCCGTAGATTTACAGTAAATACAGAGACATCAGAGTCACCGTGATCTTATCAAAGGCAGCTTTGGTTATGATTCCCTCTTTGTCTCAAGGACCCTGCCTGGTGTACTGTAAATCAGTTAAAACAAGAAGAAGAATCTGGGTTACAGATGCAATGCCACAGTAAAACAGGAATCACTGATCTATTCATGTTATTATTTATTTATTTCTGTATTTAATGAAGCAACTGACTACTGTTTATGATAGCTTATATGAAAATAAGAGTACTATTAACACCTAAAAATGATTTATCCAGAATTGTATGATTACTTCCTATTGCCAAAATATAAGTAAACCTGCTCATTCAAAAGTGATTTTAGATTAAAATGGTTGTTATGAAATGAAGGATTATAAATTTGAAAGTGCAAAGCGAGAAGAAAACGCAGTAATGCTCCCTCATTGTGCTTGTGGTTTTCCTTTAATACAACCATAGTGCTGCTCCAGTATAACTCCAATAAACTGTTCATGTTGTATTCTTATGGAATATTTTCTAACACCTGAACCTTTTCTGTGAATACCCCCCAAAACCTCCCCTGTCAGGTCAGTCCGCTGGCTGCACTCTTTTGATTCTTTTGTATGTATAGTAAAACACTGAGAGCAATACGCTGTAAGAATCCTAAAGCCTTGTTTTCTATCGTGTCAGTTTTTGTCTGAGGGCTGAGGAGGCTTGGGGGTCACACCTGAGGCCATAAAGTGACTCCAGAACTTTTCTATTTGCTTGCCTGAGCTTGCCTACGCATGATGAAACCAACGTGTGGATGAGACCCTGGTGCTCCTGGCAGGCGTTTGAGTCATGTCCTGAAGGGTTTTTCTTTCATGTGTACGTAGAGAGCAAAAGATCATCACTACAAACTGCTAGCCATTGCTTTGATTCTTTTAAAAAGCTGTGCTTGTTCTCCTCCTTTTTTGTCATTACCTTGCTCTCTTTTCCGCATTCTGAAAAGTTTGAAAGGGCAGCTAGCTGTCACACTGAATAAAATGTGCGGTCACTGTCTGCTTTTGTTTCTTTTTTTCCCACCATTTGTCTGACTTCAACATAGTTTTAGAGGTCATTTGTTAGCTTTACAGAAATGCTTGTCCAAGGTGATACAATTCACAATATAACTGTTAATGAGGATTCAGCTTTCATTCTCATTCATTTAGAATATCTTATGATAAACCTGATAGTCCTATTTAGATAGAAAATAAGAACATACCAAGACCTTTGCCATATACATGCTGTGTTTACAAGGCCTATTATTTTGACCATGTGACCATTCACTCCCTTTCTCTCAGTGGTCTGGCTGTACTGAGGTCAACCACAAGCCTCCAGTCCCACCCTCTCTCCTTTCTATTTATATTCAGCCTGTTTTTACTCCAGGGCTATTTTTCTCTCACTGACAACTCCCCCCCTGTCACTTCTTACCCCTCTTCTTACAACTCCATTTCTGTTGGGGGGCTTATGGAGGCTTTTCACTGTGGGTATGATTGGTACCGTCCTTATCACCATTTGTGTGTTGATTTCCAATCTCCTGCATGCTGTGTGGAGAACGTTAGTGTGTGAGTGGGTGGGTTTAGTTGCGCGTCACGAGCAGCGAGGCCCCTCTTTCAAGGAGCTCATGGAGGAGTTCAGTCCAAGACAACTGGCTGTCAAACAGCTGAAGCGGCAGTTCCTTGACGCTCTGCAGGCCAACGATTCCCTGGAGGTCATGAAGATTCTTCACACTGGGGAACTAGAGATTGACACCGTTCTTGAGGTGGATGACCCAAGCATGCTGCTGGCCTCATACAAGCAAGGTACGCACAAAACAAAGATTGACACATTTTACCTGCAGCAAAACAATACATGGGGATAAACATCATGTAGTGTTTGCTATAGCCTACCAAATGAAGTTTAAGGGTCATGAATTGGACGAGTTTACATAAGTATGATTATGAAAGTTTACGTGGTTTCATAAAGCATTAGAAAAGGAAAATAGATTGTAAACACTGAATATTATAGTTAGGGGAGTTGTTTTGTAGTTAACCACTAGGTGTTGCTAAACCCCCATGGACCCTAAAGCTGGATATGACAAGAAGTGATGTCGGTGATATGCGGGATACTGGGAATAACCATACAGAAATATAACAACAAAGCCGTATGAAATATAACTCTACAGTCAGTCACAACATTTATAGGCACTGTTGTTCTATATTTAGCGCTTTTAAAAAAAAAAGTATTCCCCTATGACCTTAAACATTGATGGCTAACTGTTCAACAATTAAAAAGCACATAGGAAACATCCCAAAAAGAAATATGTTGTGTGAAATAATGCCTTCAAAAACATGTTAAGGAACACAGTTTATCTTTGCAGCACGTTTTTATTTTGTATGGGTCACTAAGGGCACAATGTTTATGCTTTAAACAGGAAGCAACTGGTAATAGGAGATAAGATGGTCTGTTATTCAGCTCAATAAATGTATAATAAAACAATAGTTGTATGTGGAAGTAACTTAACCCTTAGATGCACAGTGACTATACACTCTTCCATAAGTGGCTCAAAAAGGACCCGTATTAGAATAATGTGTTTATGCAATTTTTGTCATTCTGGTTAAGACAAATCACTTGTATAATACTTAGTATTATATTTTGGTTCACACTAGAAATATTTTACATTTAATTTTTCACTATTTATAATTTTAGACATTTCTTTTACATTTTGAAAAAAAACGTTTTGAACATATTGATGCAAAGCTCTCCGCTATTCTGAGACCCTCACAGTATTTTCAAAACTCATCCCTTCTCCTCATGTCTACTCATCATAGCCCAACCCTCATCAATCCATGCCGGTTGATTAAGTTTGATTGTCCTATATCCCCCACCCTAACCTTCCCTTATATTGTAAAGCGATTTTGAGTCCTTGAAAAGCCCTATAAAAATATAATGTATTATTATTATTATTATTATTATTATACTGATAGGTATCAGATCTTGCTGTGTAAAATAATCTTCCTGAGAGGTGTCACTTGTGATGAGTCTGTGTGGTCTACAGTGAATGTATTCCTGACAGCCACAGGTGATAAGAATCAAAGGTTCCCATAAGATTCCATAGAAAATGCATGTGGGTCATTTTTGACCCACTTATGGAAACTTGGGGTAGTAATACAACAACTACAATTTCTTAAAATGTATACAATTTAAATTAAAAATTGGAATGGCATGATATCCAAAACGTGTTTTTTGAGGAATTGCTGGAATATGAAATGATAAGATACTTCAAGAAAACCACCTCACCGGGTCAAAAAAGACCCACTTAAGGGTTAAGTAAACTGTTAATACAAAACCAAATATCAGATTATAAAATATGATGGGTATTATCAGTTAAACAACCAAAAGGTAGGGTAGGCCTATATAGAGCTATTCAAATGAACTGACTAAAACATTACAAGAATTGCTCTCATAACCCTAACACTTCACTAAATTCAACAAAAAGTATAGTGCTTTTGTTGAACCCTCTCACTCACTGGTAGGCCTATAGGTTTTAGAAAAGTAAGTGTACAGGACCTTAAATTCTTATTGTTTGACATTTTGCTACAGGTTACTGGCTGCCAGGCTACACACTGGATAAGTCCTGGGCGACTGGTATTCATGTGTGTGTGATGTACAATGCTGTGGAAACAGCTCTGGTGCTCATTCAGGAGGGTGCGGCTATCAACCGGAAGCCCAACGGGAAGACGCCACTGCACGTGGCCTGCGAGGCCTCCAACGCTGACTGTGTCGCCCTGCTATTGGCTCACAGGGCCAAAGTCAACGGCCTGTCTCTGAGCGGACACACACCGCTCCACTACTGCATCACCAGTCAGTCTGTGGCCTGTGCCAAGCTGCTCCTCTGCGAAGGTCAGAGGAACGGATGCATAGATAGATGGAGATAAAAGTGCAAATACATTTATAAACTCAAAAATAACCTTTGTTTTGTCCCCCATATAGGTGCAAAAGTCAACATGCCCAGCGACAACAATGAGGCGGACACACCTTTACACGCAGCAGCCAGATTTGGCGTCCCAGAGCTGGTGGCTCTCTACCTGGCCAATGGAGCAGATGTGAATTCAGTCAACTCCCTGCAGGAGACTCCCCTGATGACTGCGTGCTTCTGGGCTTTTGACGCTAAAGAGCAATTTTACAGTGAAGATCATCATCTTGTCTGTCGCATTTTGCTGGACAACCAGGCAGGTATGTTTCTTCTTTCTTATGTAGCTACTATAAAGGCTTTGAGATTACTACAACAGTTCCCTTCTGTTCAAGATCCAAACCTCAGAGAAGAGGACAATAAGACAGCCCTTCACAAGGCCGCCTGGAACTGTGATCACGTCCTGATGCAGATGCTGCTGGAGGCCGGAGCAAACACACGGGCCGTGGACATCAACGGCTGTGCCCCCATCCAGTATCTCCTCAAAGTGACAGACGTCAGGCCCATGGCCATACCTGAGCTCTGCTACCAGGCGCTGCTCAACCATAACGCAGCACGGATTTACCCCCCACAGTTCCACAAGGTACAGGAGGTTTACTGATGTTAGAAGAGAATATAAAATACAGTTTATTTGACAAATGATATGTTGATGACAAGAGGTCCTTGCATGATAATTGTGGTGTATGATAAAATAATGTATGTTGTTTACGTTTTTGGAGGTGTTGCAGGCCTGCTATGACTGCACCAAAGCCGTAGAAGTTATGGTCAACTCTTATGAGCGCTTAAAGCCCACAAACAAGTGGAGTGCTGCCATACCTGATGACTGCTACAAGGTAGAAACATATCTTCAGTACATCAATATTAATGGCATGTGTAGTGTTTCTTATTTTGTGCCTCTCCAGGGAAATGTTTGGCTTTTTGAAATGTTCAATCCCACAGCCATCAAATTGTAAATGTATGCTTTCGATTATATCAGGATTTCAATCTAGCCCTGTCTTCAAAATTGTAGTTTTGGCTATTTTCCACCATACCATTTTATATGTTATTTGTATCTGCCTTAATGGACAAATGCATGCTTTTTTTGCTGTATTACTGTACAAAAAAGTAGAAATGCATAAAAAAACTGACATATCCAAGACAATAAAGTCCCTTGCTTAACAGAACAAATATGTTTGTGTTTTTCTACCATAAAAACAACCTTCCTACTGGGACGGATACAATATCTGAGGTTTTCTTTGCTTCCTCAGCGTCACAAAGACTTCTACGACTCTTTGTTCGCTGTTTGCAGCAACACTCCCCGCAGCCTGCTGCATCTGTCCAGATGTGCCATCAGAGCCAGCCTGGGGGAGGTCTGCCAGCGAGGTGTAGCACAGCTGCCTCTGCCCCCTCCCATGAAGAGATATTTACTGCTGGAACCTGAGGGGATACTGTACTGATGAAGAGAATATGGTTTCCAAAAAAAGACCTGCTGTGTCTGAGGAAAGTCAGCCACCTGATAATTTGACTAAAACATCCACTTCCTGTCTGCAGAGTGTGGAGAGTGAAAATGCTGCTAGTTGGAGCTGCCACTAACAAGAGTGTCCTTTTTATTTTTGCATAACATTCCCTTTTGTCTGGAACATAAGACATCCCTCTTTGGTGTTGGACAGTACTGAAAAGTTGGTTTGCGTGAGTGGAAATGTAATCACATGACTTACTATAAAACTAATTGATATGGTGGTTTGATGCAGGACATGACAGAGAACGCCATACAACTAATTGCAAATGATGAGTAACGTAGCAGGGTTGATTATTGCTGTGCTAATTACAATAATAATTTATAGTAACTAATACGTGAACATTATGGTCTGCTGTGTCACACCATCCCCTGCACACAACGTCTGTTTCTGTAAACACTGTTTTATGTAAGTATACAAATACAATGTGTTTGACTTGTCTCTCTATGACAGTGATGCCTCATCTCAATCTACCCGGCAACCATCCTTAATGCTCACTCATGCTCTCATGATACTCCATTATGCAGAACAAACACTTGACAAAGCCCTCCACAACAAGTGCTTGTTATCCAGTGGACTGCACCTGAAGCCATGTATGGACCCAGCCAGAAAAAGTAATGGTAATAGTAAAATCAGTATCCACCTTAACTCAACTGCTTTCCATCCTGGCTTCTTCTATCACTTTCATCAGTAACGAGCACAAGGGCCCACTGTTAGTGTGAGGATCCCAGTCGATGTTATCCTGGTATTAAGACTCATTTACCATGGGGAGATAAAGCCAGCTTACAATAGGATGAAAGCCCTCAACAGACTGAGGCTGCTGCCTGGAGAGGAAGAGGCGCTGCTGAGATATTGTGTTTTTGTTAAAGAGGAGAAAATTATCCGGCAGCCTCGACAAAAAAATTAAGATGAAGGCAGAATAATAATGAGAGAAAGAAAATTCAGCTCTTTTTTTATCCAACTATGCAGTAGGCTACAAACAGAAAACCAACATGATTCACTAAAAACACATAGTATTTATTTTCCTGCAAACATGTCAAAAACGGGTGTCTTTGAGAGTGTTTTACATCAAATGTCCCCAGTTAAAAATGCTTTAATTAAGTCCAGAGGTCAGTCTCATATCTTCTCATGCAAAATAATGAAATGCCACTTACGTCAGGGACCTCACTGACTGACAGTGCGTGTGTCTGTGGTGTGCTGTAATCTTTGAGAAACGTATTGCAGTCCATAGGTCATAGACAAACAGATGTGGCTGAGCACTTTGGTCAACTGAAGGTTGTTTTAAATGTGCTATATAAATAAAGATTGAGATTGATAATCTGCGCATGTTGCAGAAAAATTGTCCGGATGACTGAAGAGTCAGGCCTGAATCCTAAAATAGAGCAGTAAAATGTTGGCAGAGAGAGATACTTAAATCAAGCGTTACAATAATGAGAAGAGAAGGGTTTCACAATGAACTGAACTTGGCTGCTCCTCACATTGCACTGATCCTTTTTCCCCCTCCTCCTATCTTTTGAAATAAGCTTGCATAATTATGTGTTATGCCGCCATGCAAGTAATGCCTGAATAAACTGGAAAACAGAGACAGGAAACTATAGCACAGGGAAGCGCAACATGTGGGCGCACTAATGAAGGGGCAAACAGAGCAGGACAGCGTGTCCACAGAGCTCCTGTTGGCAGCCGGCCACGGGAAGCCACTGGATTGTCGGACGATGACAGACAAACGGAGCAAAGTTGACTAAAACAAGCTGTGGGGACAGGAGGGAGACGGGGGTATTACAGAGAGCAGAGGCACATGGGGCTACTTCACACACTATAAACAGCTTTATACCTCATACAAATCTTACTCGTGTGAATATAAGCGCAGGGTATTTCATGTACTATGAGCTACAAAAGACACAAGGTATTGAGCATTTTATCTTTCTACATTCACTGGTCCTTTTAGTAACGAACCACAACTTCAGCACAGTAACACGTGGCCTTTGAGAGTGATGGTCGTACATGTTGAAATATCAGTTGGTGCAGACAGTTAAAAAAGAAATCATAAAAATCTTAAATTAGGGATTTTTATTCAACAAGGCAATTCTAAACACTACAAACTTGGCAAAGAATGAACTGAGAAGTACAGTTTAGTACATGATTAGAAACATAAGGAAACATCTATTATATCAACACAGCGTACATATAGCTTGACCTCTGTAATGCATGCTACACTTTGCAATCATTTACACAGGCCTTAACACCTTAAGTCACTAAAACATACAATACATGCACCAAAACACTTATTGATATTATCCAAGGACCAGATATATACTGTTTAGTTTTACTATTAGAAAAACACTAAAAATATTATTGGAAAAGCGTTTACAAGTGTGTATAATGCAATTGACTACACACCAGTTTCAACAGAAGGGGAGTTATTATTATGTAGGTTATGTTAACCTGGCAGTTTTAAAGTTAAAATATAATTATTCACAGTTACATTCAACATATTACCTACATATTTTGCAATACTGTGTTCCACCTCTCCAAAAAGGCACTTTCTCCTTTCGCTCAACCTCCATCAAGTATGTTTACATCTCATATCGAAGGAGCTAAAAGATTTTACAATTTATTTTACATTAATATAATTTTACAGCATGCATAACCAGAGCAAATTATTTGAATAGTGTCTCTAAATGCTGTGGTTGGATGAAAAACTGACCTGCAATGAAATGCAGAAGTTGTCCGTGTGAAGCAATGCTGCAGGTTATGAAGGACTAACATGCCGACATAACCAAAAAAGTGCTGGAAAAGACTTTGATCTCTTTGTGTTCGTGCTGCAGTCCAAGTGACCTCGCTGCTGCTGGCTTTGGTTGGGTTTCTCTAGGCATAGGTACACATTTACTTAACTCAAAAACACAACTTAACCAAAAAACATTATCCTAGCTTTAGATTGGGAAATTATACATTTTGAAAGATAATAACTGGCATAAACACAAACACCATGCTGGCTTCATAGTGTAACCATGTTATTATAACTGAGGGTAATGAGGAAGGCTGAGGGAGATTAATACTTTTCAATTCCCATTTGCTGGACGTAATCGTTGCAATAAATGTAATTAAATTGCCCGCAGGCTGGTAGTAATAGTTCAGCTCAGTTATTTATTTACAATCTAATTATTGGCACAAATGATGAGCATTCTTCCCCAACTAGGCTTCTCTCTGTGAGAAAGGGAATCCAGTTTCCACACACAGACGTCCAGGTCCAGCAGCATTTGTTTTCTCCCACTTACACCACAAGTTAATCCATCTCTTCAAACATGGACCCTTTTCATCTCAATTATATTATTCATACTATTTTAGACTATCCTCTTGGAATTGCCCAGCTGCTTTGGATCCTTGCTGGGCATGCACCAGTCGTCAGCCTCTATGCTCGTCTGGTAATGCCTTAAGGCTGACTTGTTGAAAACAGGGAGTCTCTCCACTGACTCTGAGGACAGGGCCTGTGACACAGAGCAGAAGGGAACGTATTAGTCTTCATCCTGAGAGTCAGATCCAGGTCATCTCTTATTGGTAAGTTCCCTCTGTACACTGCTTAAGTAAAGACAGCAGAGGTCTCTAACATGTGGTGGGTTACAGCATGACAGACATTAGCTTTGCATTATTTGTACGACGTAGGTATGTTACACCACTCAGTCAATACAGAATGTGTACTTGACAGAATATGTGAACTCTAACCCAACCCAGTGTTATTTTTGACTGTGTGTAGATGGTGCAGCTCTCACCTTCAGGTATATAACAGCTGAGGTGCCGTAGCCCTCCATAGAGTAGAGCTGCAGGTCTCCCTGGAAGTACTTGGCATACAGACGGGAGATGGGCAGGCCGTAGCCAAAACCAGCCTGAAGGGAACATAACAAAGTTACAGTTTAAAGGTCCCCTATTATACTCTTCATCAATATATTATAGTTCTCAGTTATATACAAGACATGTCTTTGAAGTGCCAAACACATCATGCATTGTAGCATCCCATAATCCCCTCTGTTTCAGCGCTGTTTCAAAAGTGCTGATTCTCTGTCTGTTACTTTAGATCAGTGGTTCTCAAAGTGTGGGGCGCGCCCCCCCTGGGGGGCGCAGAGGCATGCCAGGGGGGGCGCGAGAGACCAGGAGGAAAAATGGTTATATAAAAAAAAAATAAGATAAAAAAAAAAAAATCATAATTTGAAAAATTATTGATTCGAAAATAATATGATACAGTACAGTACTATTACGTCTGGGTCTCTGTGTTTCATTAAAGCTCGGCTCTGTGTGTGTGGAACGAGCCATTTTGTGTGCGCGAGAGAGAGAGAAGAGAGCGCACCGGTACCGGAGATCGTTGTTCTTAGCTTCTGGTGCTAGCGAGCTACGCTAACGGATATAAGGAGTTTTTTCAACAACAAAGTGGAGGAGAGTCCTCTCCTGTCAGACTGAGAGACTCAGTGAACTAAAGGACTCTCTCATTGATATCTCAGTGGGTCTCAACCGTTTTGGTCACCATTAATGTAAACAATTATTTCCGAGGCACACATTTATATGATCATTATCGTTATAAAAAAATAAGAGAATAAATGAAAAACAGGTATGAAATACTATATGACCTTAAAAAAAGAATAAAGTTTAAAAGGGTGATTTGTAAAATATCCATAAAAAAAAAGTAAATCTGTTTACAGTTCCGTTTCATCTGGGTGTTGAGAGAGGTATCCATAGATCTCTTCATTTTTCTCTCAATGTGTCCACACACCACCTATAAAAATAGCTCGTTACCCCTGCTTACACCTATATGCCGTGAGCTGATTATCGAGCCTTCGTTGTAACAGTTGCGGGAACACTGTGTATGTGCGTGTGGGGAGTGTTGCAGTAGAAAATTCCACTGTAGCGACCGGTACATTAATGGGAAACCCTAAATGTTTGAGCACCCTCTATGAAACGTCAAGCTACCCCACAGCACCCCCAAAAGAAGTCTCTGGCGCCGCCACTGAGCCTGACTATGTGTGTTGGGGGGGCCCGACTTTTTTTTTTTCTCCAAAGGGGGGGCCTGACCGAAAAAGTTTGAGAACCACTGCTTTAGATGAAAATAAGAAGCTACTCCCCACGCCCCTCTGAGAGATATCTGGTGATTTTGAGCTTCAGGTGATAAGGTGGGGGGGGTTACCTTGGTTGGTGATTGGCTATTGGTTACACAAGCCAAAAAAACCTTATGACATCACAAAGTGGCCAAAATCTGATCAGCTCATTTTCGGACAGGTTTTTATATAAATGGATCAGGACAAAAAGAGAGAGGGTCTTTGTTCCTGAAACTTTCAGAATCTCTTTACACAGAGGGGACACATATTTATGTATGAAGTGGATTTTGCATAATAGGTGACCTTTATTAAGTGGATATTGTGGAGGGTTAAAGTCTTTAGTTTCTCTCATGGTTACAGTTGTATCCACTGAAAAGGTTGCGGACTGCATTCCTCTTTGTTCTCAGCCACTGTAATATGCCCTGGTGCTCTGAAGTGAGTCTCTGATTACAACAGGGAGATTTACTATGTGGGTTAGTTTTAATCCCATCTTTAAAATGCAAACACAAGCTTGACAGACTGAGATAGACGGGTTCAGCCTCACCAGTGGTGCATTGCGTGAGTTGTCTTCGTGGACTGGACTCGGAGCCGTGGAGTACATGTAGCTGAACAGACGCTCGATCTTCCTCAGAGGGACTCCCCCTCCTTTGTCAGACATCTAAAGATAAAGAGGAGAGACGTTAGGTTCACATTGTTCTGGCAGCTCATCAGCTCTTGATCATGTGAATGGAATCTAAACAGTGTCATGCTTTGTGAAAGTGAATCAAGTCATCAGTTTTATTTAGATACTAACACGGTCCACATGGATAGGCATTGAATGGCACGACAACACTTGTTTGTTAATATAATCTAAACAGGATTTTCTCCCTGATTACTGTCTTTAGTACAATAATGCAGTCTTCCTTCACTATCTGGGTCCTCATCTACCTTGATAGTGAGATCCTCAGTTCCCAGTGAGACGCGCACTTTGATCGGGGGCAGCGTGATGCTCGTCTCGTGGGTCTCCACTGTAGCTCTCATGGCGTTCTGCCAAAGAAAATACAAAGTGGATTATATAGTGAGAAAGCAGACATGTGTTGGCAGATAAAACACTGTTAGTCAGGCTTGTTGGATACTGTACCTTAAACAGCTCAAACAGCATATGGTAGAGATGGGACGGCACATAGACAATGTGGAGGGGCTGGTTAGGGTTTTTGGCTGTAAAGAAAATCATAACACTGATGATATAGAACAGGGGTGTCTTTTTTCACCGAGGGCCACATACAGAAAAATATATGAAGGGCAGGGCCACTTACTTAGAGGTATATTGCCTCATAAATTCAGTTATAAGTTAGCAAAATCAATCAAATGTAGGTTAATTATGCTTGTGAGTGTTGGCGGCTCATCCCTCAAAACAGAAGCCTCAGATTGATTATAATAAGGAGAAATAGGAAAGGTGTATTTCAAGCTTTTTATGTAAATAAGTCATTTTTTTTTTTTCTTATCAACTAAGATATGTTAGAAAATGTTTCCAACTTTAATTGACTGAATTTTTTTGAAAGGTAGTCTTATTAACACATGAATACTACTGTGTAATATATGTTTACATTTGTATTCAAGAAGAACAATATAAGACAAGCACAAGTTTCATTTGTTTTCCATATTTCATTATACTTTTTGAATTAGCTGAGGGCCGATTAAAAATGGTCCGCGGGCCGCATTTGGCCCCCGGGCCGTAGTTTGGACACCCCTGATATAGAAACTATGAACGATCTTTATCCCTGACAGAAGAGTATACAGTGGATGCAGACAACAATCTACAAATTAACTGTGAGCTGAGACAGGCCACACCTTTGTAATGTAAAGAAAAGAACAGATTAGAGCCACTCCTGCCAAATAAACAAGGAACAAAACAACTCATTCATCATTCTGGAGTATTTTATCCAGACCTTATCTGCCAAGAAATGCTGGCCAAGTATGTACTGTTTGTATTCAAAGCCCTGTCTCATGTTCTGAATGATTTACTGCAGGAGGAAGTAGATGTATGGATTTGATTAAAGGGCACACTGTAACAATAACTACCACATGTTTTCTACTAAACTACAAATTATATTAATGTATACATTATATTAGTCTGTTTATGCATGTAATCATACTACAAAAAGTAATGTGTATGTTAAAATAAAGCCTTTCTTTAATATATTTTTGCTTAGGTTGTCACATTACAGTATATGTGGTGGGTGGTTTAAATGACGGATAGTCTGATGCTAAAGCTAGCTCTTGGCAGGCTCAGCTAGCAGGACACAGATGCAACAGGCTAAGTAAGATTAATCCCACATTTCCTAATCCTAGGATTAATGAAAGTTCAGTTGAGAGTCATGAGCACAGCAGGGAAACTATTCTCTCACACTAGTTTCGCACAAATATCCAGTTGAAACAAAAGAGATACAGCAGAGGCATGAGTAACTTCGGAACAGATAGATAACATCTGGAAATAGAAACACGAGGGTTGTTTTGTAGGACTTACAATTGACTTCTATGATCTCCATGTCAGGAGAGGTCAGGTAATACTGCTCACACAGCATTTTTGAAGTCTCGTAGGCATCTAGAAATTGAAACAAAAGAAAAGGATGTTTTTTTACTTCAGAAATGGAGAACAATAGAGGACATTATTTTTCTGTCATGTAATAAACCAGTTTACAGAAAACATGGCTCTATTGCAGCCGTGTTCTCATAGAGTTCCACTCTGTATATTGACTCCAAAAATATCAGATGATTAAAGGTCAAACAGTCATGGTTCTGTGCAAACAGAAAATAGATAACATATCCAGTGTGTGCGTGTGTTTATACATAGCTGTATTATAAATGAGGAAGATCATTTATTACCTTTTATCACCTCCACCACGTCACAGCTGGGGTCGATGCTGCCAATATGTTTGGGATGGGCTGGGTTTAGAGACAAATTGACGCTGCCTTCGAAGATTAATGCTATAGGGCACAATACAACAAATGTCTGTCTCAAATTACGTAAGGATACAAGTCATTGTCAACACCCTTCTGTTAATATTAAACCCATTATAAAACACTAGCTGGTTGAGAACATTCGTAATAGTACGAAAAGCAAACAATAGCTCATTGAAAACACATATTGCTGACATAACCAAAAACATACACTCTTGTTCATTCAACTAGAACGACCAAATATTTGTCATTATTATTCTGCAGATCATTTTCTCGATTACTATAGCAGCAGTATGTGCCAATCTGGCTTTTACTTTTGATGAATTCATTATCAAAATAGATGGCAATCACTTTTTTTTTGTCTCTACTGTAAAGCAATCAAGGCATGCTGGGTGCTTTGGTGGCTCTTTTATAAAGCAATCACAGTGCTGAACTTCCTGTGACATTTCAAAATGCTAGCTCTCAACCACTATCAGCACTAATTTATTGACATGAGCTTCGGGTGTGAGCAACTGTGTTGATTAACTCACAGTCTATCACAGAGTGCTATACTGACTGTGCTGGTTCATGAGCATGCGTGTGGAGATCCGGCTCATGTAGAAGCGGTCCAGGAAGTACTGGACGTTCTGGTTGGTGACGGGGTCCACGCCAAACGCATCCTTGTACTCCACCACACCCTGAGCCATGGTGGGCACCACGTCGTTGTGGCGATTCCGGACGTTTACCAGAGTCTGTGTGAATCTGGGGGCAAAGAAAGGATGGATTTGGCGGTTAGTGTGGGAACATCAGTTTCATGGCATTGGACACATATTCCTGCTAAACATAGTCCAAATACTTCCGTCAAACAAATGAACCTACTGTTTGCAGTGCTAGAGTTTACAATTATGGCTGCAGTTGAGCTAATTATACAATTTGTATCCTTAATGTAAGTAGTAAAACAAGTTCTAACAGATGCTACTTAAAGGTGGGGTAGGTCATTTTGGAGAAACCAGCTCGAGATCGCTAGAATTTGAAAATACACAACCGGAAAAAATCTACCACTTCCTTACAGAGCCCCTCCTCCAACACACACGAACGCACACATGACCAATGAGGGCACGAGATAAGTTTGTGCACAGATGGAAGGCTGACAGGCAGGTAGGCCATCCAGCTATTTTAGCCGGGCCGGCTAAAATGATTGGTCGTGCTTTTTACAGAGCTACGGCTTCCACAGATGAAATGTTTGTATGGATTTTTTGTCAAAGCACTTAAGATATTCATTGCTATCGGGATGTTAAGAGCATTCCATGCAATATAACAAAAAGTGTATCTCGAGCCGGTTTCTCAAACTGACCTACCCCACCTTTAACAAAAGCCTGCACCCAAGTGGAATATTTACATATGTGCAGAGAAAACCAGATGAATTTCTCGAGATAAAAAAAACATTGCTGTTACTGATCTGCATGAATGCGTCCTCTCTGTGGTGGAATTAGCTTAATGGAGCAGTACTTCATCTTCAATCTTTAAGTCTCACAATGGGTTTCATGGGCTGTACAACAAGGTACGTAAATATGAGTCGGATCACACTTTGGACCGATCTTAACAGTGCAGTGTTGGAAACAAAACAACTAGACACGGACATTCTTAATGTTTACAGACGCAATTTGTACGTACTTGAAAGCGTGTGTAAATGACTTACTTTGTCAGGACCTCCTTATCATCTGGATTCTTTTCAAGAAAATCTACAATCTCCAACAAACTCTGTGAATACCTGGTGGACAGTAAAAAAGGACGAGTTAAAACATGAATATAGCAACTCACTCAACACTAGTTATTTGACTACCTAAACTGGGAGTTAAGCCATGAACTTGTGTTATACTTTGCATGGTGGAAATTCCTAACCATTTTAATAAGTTAGAATAACACTGTATGTTAGTTGCTGTTCTCTGTAGCGGACTGTGGATGAAGAAGAGGACTAGAGTGCTGAGCTCTCTGAGTCACACACTCGCAGTAGGGAATCTGGGTGAAAGGTGAACAAGCACTGTTGTTGTTTGTCCCTCAACTAACCTTCAGTGCTTGCATTATGTGACCAGACATTCATCTTGAAATAGACTTTTGGGCGACTTGTATTTTTCCCAAGTTTGCCAGGAAACATCAACGCGTGAATTCACTCCTCGCTTTAGCAACATTAACAAGTCACAGATATTTTGGCTGGCAATCCAAAGAGCTCTGCTGTCGCGAGAAGAGAAAGCCACAGTGGGTACATCGCCAAATATAGACAGTACTGTGGCTCTTAAGTGAAGAGCGGGGGTGGAGTAATGACCTTATTGTTAACATATCTTACAGGGACTTGTGCACCAAACATAACATGCTCTGGTAAAGTCTGCAGCAGAATACTGTGTTTTATACAAATCTAGTGTTGGTGAAAAAACCCCACAACTAATACATTTGAAAACCCACAACAGACAAAATGTTCCTCCACATGAACTTGACTGCACCCTTGGTCTCTCAGTTTTTACAACACCTTAATATGGGTGTGTGCACACAGATTAACACATGCTGGTTCAACGCTACCTGTGTGAGGGTCATAACACAAACAACTGTTGCCGTGCGACAAGTCGTATGCATTATCTTCAAGATCGCTATTGCATTTAAGGTACAACATGAAATTGGGGCGTATAAATAATCTGTCCAGGGTATTAAAATAATAATAGCATTGCAACATAATGACAGAAAGTATGTTAGCTAATCAAACAAAGTAAAGCTCCAGGATCAATGGTTTCTGGTTAACAAGCTCCCCAATAACAGCCGGGTGAGAGAGGTGCATGTTAAAACAGAACAGACAGTCACGAAACCTAACATAACCTCCGATAAGATCAACAGGGATAATGTTTTTATCAGATCAAAGTGTCTGTGACTAGATGAATGTCCCAAAACTAATGGAGGAACATTTTAATTCAGGTTAGATCTGTTTTATATTTGAAGCAAAAAAAGTAATAGGTCTTGAGAGATAATAAGAGGACTTTAATATTCCAGACACTACCGGTTCATTACTAACCCCAGTTGAAACAAAAACGTTTGTATGGGAGAGGTAAAGGTCAATTTTTGGGGGAAATTATTCCTACCATATTTTGCGACAACAATTGATATATGATGATATGTAGTGTAGAGCTGAGCATACCAGCTGATGAGGAGCTTTAGGGATGGAGTGCTGAGAAGCTTGTCAGGGAGGAAGTCAATTTCTTTCATGATGTTGGCCAGCCTGACAGGAAGCTCCTGCCGCAGGAACACAAAAGAGGTCTTCTCACATGCATTGGCTGAGCCTGCAGTCACATCAGGGGAGAGATAGAGGAACACATTACTGAGCAAGCATCTAACTCCTGACCCATTCCTGTCACAGATACAACACTTTTCCTAAACATTAATCAGTGGAGGAATTCTGTCCAGGATGAATACACAAACTGTCTTTTCTTTGAGGAGGAACCTGTTGCGCTTATGAAATAGTAAACGATGATGAAAATATCTGCATTCTTCCTGTCTAAAACAGTAATAGGAGAGGTTGCATAGCATACATATATAACCAAACAGCTGTTTTGTGTTGCTTCTGTTAGTCAGTGCAATGTTCATTTGTTTTACACTGGCAGTGGTGTTGTTAACTGAGGACATTTACTCAAGTTAGTACTTAAGTACAATGTTAAGGTACTTAAGTATTTCAATGTTATGCTACTTTGTACTTTGAAACCATTACAATTCGGAGTTAAATATTGTACTTTCACTCCACTACATTTATGTTCAAGTATATTTAGATGCCTATACTTTTGTTCTTTTACTTGAGCAACATTTTGAATGCAGAAATTGTACTTGTAACAGGGTATTCCTACACTGCTAGTTTTACAACATTTGAGTACTTCTTCCACTTCTTGTCCACGTCTGGTCCACTTAAAGATAATCAGTTTGCAGTAAGGGACACAATGAAGGACAGACCTGCTTTAACATTAGTCTGCATTATGCACTTCACTAGTGTTAGCTGCAGTTTGTCAATGACCAGCTGTCGATCAGATACTGTGCATTGGACATGTGAGTGTGGGAGAGAATAAAGTAACATGCAGTGCCAGTCACAATCAATGCTGCTCGACATACTTACCAAAGTCAATGAATTGCTTCATAGACAATGGAGAGGGGGAGAACTTAGCAAACCTCTCCACTTGTTTCGGTATGCCAGCCACGGAGCTATTTTTCAGCAAAAACTGAGCGAATTTCATTTTTCCTGAGTTTACTAGATCCCAAATGCCCTCAGTCCCGGGGACAATCTGCCCTTTCTTCCTTCAGCTCGCTCCAGTTTGACGATTGTTAGCTAAATAGGGATAAAGCGTCCGCCTTGGTTAAATTAAAAACAATTCAAAGATGCTATAATGAGTTCTCCATCATTGTTTTTCGTAGGCAGCTGCCTTGTATCTCGGCAAATTGTTGTGTGCCCTTCAAATGCAACTTCCAACAGTGAGCGGTGTGTGTTGTTGGTGGGTGGGAGGAGGAGTGACTGACGTACAAACCGACCAATGGGAGAAGAGATTTCACTGGAACTGGAGGGCGCGTAGAGGAAGTGTAGGTTGAAGAGAAGAGTCGTGATAATTCTTATAATTTAAGGAAGGTTAATTTAGGGGGGGATTTGTGTTTTTTGTTTGTTGTTTTATTTTTAGCAACTTAATGTACAACAAATAGAACATAAGTACACTGACAAACTCAATGCTATATAATTTAAGTAAAGAGTTTCATGGCTGCAATATTAAATAACGTCCCTGTCATAAAGTCAAGTTATACCATAGTATATTCAAATACATGTTGAAAGAAAAAGTACATCTGTTTACAGTTCTGTTTTATATGGGTGTTGAAGAAGAAGAAGAATTGGGAGGGATGAAACCCTCTTTAATGGTCACACATGCAGAGCACACACAGCACACACAGTGAAATGTGTTCTCTGCTTTTAACCCATCCTAGTACCAGGAGTCTAGTAGGAGCAGTGGGCAGCTATACAGCGCCCGGGGAGCAATGGGAGTGAGGGGGGAAGGGGGATGTCCGGTGCCTTGCTCAAGGGCACCACGGCAGGGCAGGAGGTGAACTGGGACCTCTCCAAGTAGAAGTCCACACTCCAAATGTAGGACTGGTCGGGGACTTGAACCGGCGACCCTACGGCTCACAGTCCAAGCCCCTACTGACTGCCATAGATTCAGTCCCTATTTTGCTCTCAAACTGCACCAGATTGATGCATTTAACTTCAACATTTAAAAACAAATCTTCCCGGGGGAGCTTGCCCCCGGACCCCCCTAGAGGAGGTGAGGTCCACCACCTGCCCACACCCCCTGTGAAATTGTCTCACTCACACTGAGGATGCTTCCTACGCCCATGTTTTATTCCATGTGTCAAGTCAGGCAAATTGGGTGCAAATACCCTGTGATCAAAGTGTGTCACGTGCTTCACTGCTGACAATAACTGCTTCATGAACTTCATCAAGCAGTGAGTCTATTTTGTCAAATGGCTCAATACAGTTTGCGTATGTATTCCTAAAGGTTGCTTCACAATGGTACAATCTTGCCTGCAGACAACATTCAGACATGTAATCTTGTTAAAATATAAAAAATAACGATTTTCACATTTTAATTGGCATGCAATTTAACCTGTTGAGGCTATTTAGTATTTTCCATGTGTTTTTATATAAATGTTGTTCAAATTTGAAACAATAACTATTTTTTCATAATGTACCATTATTACCAGTGTTGCCTCAAGGCAACGCACCCCAAAAAGTACCCCCAAATAATTATTTTAAAATGTCTTTAGATTATGTTTATTTGGTGTAATAGACTAAATAAATATAATCTAAAGACATTTTAAATAAATTGTTTTTCCCAAATGGCATCATAGTGTGTACCATAGAGGGTTAATAATAATAATAATAATAATAATATATAATATTTTTATAGCGCCTTTCAGGAAACCCAAGGTCGCTTTACAAGTCGGGTAGGGGGGGGGGGGGGGGGAGTAGGGGGAAAAAGGCAGACAGGTTAACCGTGTTAACATGACATTACCTTCCGAAGCATCACCGACTAAGTTAAATATGAGTGGCCCTCTTACTAAAACTAACCTAACGCTAATGTGTACTTGTCTAAAAACAAAGCATGTGGTTTAGAATGGCTGTCAGTTTGTAATGTGTGTATTTGTTAGTTTGGCTCATCCGGCGCACTTCTCCAGTTGGCCACAAGATGGCGACGTTACAAAAGCCACGAGACGAACAAGGAGGTTGGATTTCCTCCTCTCCTCAACATCTTCCTACTCCTCCTAGGGATGTATCAGCGTGCGGTGCACCTGTTTTATCCACTATCTGGGTCATCATCCATCGCTGAAATGCTGTGTTTTGGTCATCAATAGCTGTAAGAAAAGATTTAAACGACCTATTCGGTGGTGTCAGAAAGGCCTCGACTCTTGTCATTTAGGCAGAGGATGTGTTGATTTTCTTGTTGTTCGGGGTGCAGCAGTGAGACAGCATCTTTGCCGGGTGACACATCATTATCAGCACGAGTGGACAAGGTACGAGTGAAACAATAACACTACATTATACGGTTATTTACGACCAAATATCCCCCTTTTTGTCAGCTTTACGTTAGCAAAGTTCATGTGTATTTATAGCAAGGCCTTCGTATTGTCGTATGTACAAATACTGTCAAAGGTGTGATTAGCTAGCTTGGAATATTCAGCTAATGTCAGTTAACATTACGAGCACATTTTCTTCTTTTTAAGGCTACATATTTAGCTGGGTATGTGTTTTTGTTATAGTTAGGCTATACCATTTATTGTCAGCAGAGTACACATCTTTTGTTCTTTTGTGTATTCCTTCCAAAAAGCTTCAGCAGACATTGCTAAACCTCCATGGTCAGGTGCTATTATTTCCTAAATAAATGGGAAAGACTGATACAAATAGGTAGCCCACATTTCTTTAATAACCTTTTGTCAGAGATCTATTTCAAGATCCTGACCCTATGCCACATTTAGTTTTATGTAATCAAACTACTTTCTTTCCCAAACCTGAATATTGGCAACTGAAGAGATGAGCTTAAATGTTTATTGCATGTATTAGAATATTTCTGGAGAAATGGTTCAAGTGTCACACCACTGTTGATATACATTTCTGCCCCGTATTGACAGCTTTTTTTGCCAATATAATTTCCCTATCGTTTGCCTGCAAGGTTATAGATTGGCTATGGATGTACAACTGCCACACCCATTTGCGTTTTGTGAAGCATCACATAGGCCAACGTGTGAAAATGAAACCAGAACATGTTGTGACAGTGCCATATGTTGCTCATTCCTGTCTAAATGTCTTACTTAAAGCCCTGTAGGACATCATGTCGGATAAAAGTGACCTAAAAGCAGAGCTGGAGCGCAAGAAGCAGCGCCTCGCCCAAATCAGGCAGGAAAAAAAGATAAAGGAGGAGGAGAGGAAGAAGAAAGAGGTAAGGAAAAAAGTGAGTGACTTCAAACAACTGGCCACACTTGTGTATTGTTTGATTGCTTTTTGTCAGGCCGCGTGACACAAAAGGATGAGGTTGTGTGTGTCCATACGTATACAATCATCCGGTTGGTGTGGGACTTTTTCATTAAAAGCTGCATGCATGTGTAAACTTATCCGAAGCATTATGATGAGTAAGATGTCATTTCTCTGTGTCCTGAGCAGTCAGAGATCCAGCAGAAGAGAGAGTCCATCCCAGAGGATTCAGACCTGGACCGTAAGCGCCGCGAGACTGAGGCCCTGCTCCAGAGTATCGGCATCTCACCTGAGCCTTCACTAGGTACGTAATATTCACACACCCTAAACAATGAGTTCAACCATAAAGGGTTTTCTCTGTTCTGTTGGGATTTTTATGCTAAATGTAGATTTGTATATACTATACATAACGTTTAAGGACCATGAACGGTTCTAAAATAACACCAAACTACATTAAATATAGCTCTGACACACCATTTAAATGTTTTAAACAATACTCACGTGAAGTAAGTCTAAGATGCCAACAACATTCTACTGCAAACGCAAATGTTATTTAACAGATACAAAAAAAACAAGGTACATTTCTTTTATTTTTTCTGTTGCCGTGACTGCATGATACAGTTTTATATGTATGTTTGGACTTTTCTGTATGTGTTTTTTAATAATAACTCCCTTTTTATTGCCTTTCTCTCCTCCACTATAGCCCTACTCTGGTTTTTGATTACTCTGAATAATGAGATTATAACATGATGCTGCTTCTCTTAACTTTACTTGTACACAAAGCAGATATTTAATGTAGGTTTTATCCCCAGGGTCCTTTCAGCGAGCGTTTGGAAGCACTGTTCTCTAGTGGTCTGAAATTGTAACAACACCCTCAACACCTCAGAACTGGGTCAATGCTCTGTCTGTTATAAGCTTAGGTTATTTATAACGCATCTTCAAATGAAGCGAGTAAGATCCTATTAATACAAAATCACAATGCTTTGATGCTTTGCCCTGCCTCTCCTTTCCTTTAAACATGCATTTGTATGTTCCATCACTCTATTTAAGTGTATTTCTTGCAGCCTTTAATGTTAGATTTATGTTATTTTCCTTATTTAGTCCCGACCCCTCTGTCCCCCTCCAAATCACTGAGCACCCCCAGTGAGACGGGAAGCCAGGATTCAACTGATGGAGGAGCAGTGGGCAGGTAGGCAGAAATCACAAACATCATACCCAGGTTCAATGCCAGAGGTCTTCTTGGTTCGTTAGTCTAATTCAAGCAATGCTAAATGTCAAGGACCTTTCACACTTTCAAAAAGGGTTTGCTCACTCTTACAAACCAGACACTGTCTTCAAAGGGATAGTTTGGGTTTTTTAAAGCAGGGTTTCATGATGTTGTTAGACATGGTCTTGTATGGTGGTTGGCACTCAAGCAATTCCGAAGCTATGCAATGCAATGTATTGCTGTGATTGGGGAGCAGCAGCTAAATGTAATTTATACGAATAAATAAGGCACATCCTAGCAAAAAGTCTAAATCAGTTTAATTGTTTGTTATATTTAGAATATATTTAGAGCTTTACTTGCTGTTAGACACACACCCTTTCCACAGGGTGACTGAAGCGGTTATGTATGGTCTCCTTAATGCCACCAGGCTCCTATAAGAACAAAAAGAAACAGTAGCTTAACCTGGCAGAACACGAAAGTTGTCAGTCAACTGCAGCCTCGCTTGATTAGTTAGTTTGTGTTGTTGTGGTACAATATTCTGACTACAGCACACATTTAAACTGATATGGAAAATGACCCTAAACAGTACTTTATACAACCCCACCAGTGTTTCCCCTAGGATGGAGTCATAGCAGCTAAAGCACGTGGGCCCAGCAAAATGTGAGCGCGGAGCGCGTGGAATTTTTTAATGTGCGAAGTGCGCCCCGCCAATATGTTTCTGTGTCTGCCAGCACAAGAAAGGCTCTAGTTCAGTGGTTCTCAACTGGTCAGGCCTCGGGACCCACTTTTTACTTGGTCAATACATCGCGACCCAACATTTTGAAGCACTCAAATCTATTCAACAAAAAAACGTGCTGTAATATATACGGTTTTCAGCATACAATATTAATACAAGTGAAGTACAGTGCATATATCCCTTCACAGAACTAAAGTATGCTTTTAAAAAAGGTTTAATGAGACGATGGAATCAAAGCTGAACTATATAAAAAGGCACACATGCTAAAAACCCAACCCCAGCAGGGGGGTCTGGGGGGATTCTCCCCCAGGAGATTTTTAGAAATACTAACATAAACTATGCATTCTGGTACACTGAGAAGAAAATAAATAAATCTATTACTAGCTACCCGACATATTAATAATATTTTTATGCCATTGTTTGTTTTTCACTTTGTTCTGACATCTTGCTGCGAGAAGAGTAAAGAGGAGATAGTCTGTGTGAAATAGTTTAAATTGTGGGTAAGGGTAGATAGCTCCCATTGTTCTGTGACCTGTCAATCATCAAACCGGGGGTCATATTTCATTATGTGTTCATTTTTATCTGAAGTTGTACCCATGGATGTATAAAGAAGAGTTCTACCGCTAAGTTATTCTCCGTGGGGACTTCCGGCAACAATCTTGATTCTGATTGGCCAGAAGACTCGAAAAACATCAGCAAAGATATTTTATTGAGAAGATGATCACTACGTGACAGAAGTTTTCAAAACCGTTTATGGTCTCCGGTACATTCAGTCCAACGCCGACTGCTTGCAGCGTTAGAAAACCGGGCCTTCAAAATAAAAGTTTGAGTTTTTCCCCAAAAAAAAATTCCTATTTATTTATTTTTCCAATTTTTTTTTCTGTTCATCCGCGACTCACTCGAAACGGGTCCGCGACCCACCAGTTGAGAACCACTGCTCTAGTACATACAGTGGCAATGTCTCAAGTCATTGCCACTGTATGTACTAGGCCTCAAAAGGTGTATTTTGTTAAATCTTCAAGATGTATATACGTAGGGGGAACACTGCCCACATTAAACGTTTTTTCATGTGGCCAAAAAAACAGAGAATGTGAATCTGCATTTTGTCACTTTTGACACATATTTTGTCTCCTTTCTTGTAAATGTCTCAACAGGTTTAGGTAAGAATGAGTGTCACTAACTGTGAGGTTGTGGTGCCTTGTTAGGTTTTAAATGTGGTATCTGTCTCTTGTCATGGCATCCGTTGTTTTGATGACCACTGTACAGCTTGTTGCTTCTCATAACTAGTTTTAGGAACATTAATGTCTCAGCTGCGTCCTTCCTGCAAATAAGTTGTTGGTTTGAACAAAGAGATACTATTTTTGTTTAGATATTACTTGTGCAAGTGAGTTGATACAATAAAAAACAACCAGCCATAGTGAGCCAGTAGTGAGCCATTAGTTGTATAGTAGTAGCTCCTCCCCTTTTGTTACTGGGGATGTAAAGTGTTTACTAGCTGATGTGTCATTCATGCGCCTGCATTTAGTGATATACTTATACATCCATAACACACCAGACCAGTGGAGCAACTGTTTATCTTATAAGTTCTGCACATGGCTGCTCTGCTGAATAAACCTGCAGCTGAGAAGCGAGTGGTCATCAAGCACTTTCCATTTGCTTCTTAATGGCCGCTGACTCTAGATGTCAGTGTGAGTGATGCCCTCAGTGATGTGTTGTTCTGGTGTGGCCAGGAGTGGAATTGGGGATAAAGAACACGTGGGAGACTCTATAACGTTTCGAAGTATAAATAAATTCTCTTTATATGAGACTTTCTTTTTCTTTTTAGCTTTTACAAATTGGATTTTACAAAACGGTGAGTTAGATCCACTGCCTGGAATGCAATTTCTTCCCCCCAAATCCACCCTGGATGATGGCATGCCATTTTGAGCTTCTCCATTTGTGGCTGTGTATGTGTGTGTCCCTTCTTAGGTCAGGTTTCTCTAAAAACAAGTCCCAAGCACAGACTTCAAGGTAAGCATTTTCGCGTCAAACCAAGGAACCTCCCCCCCCACCTTCCCCTTATTTGTTAGCCGAGTTTTCCCTCTAGTGAATACAGAAAGGCACCTGCAGGGCTGTCAGTGGTCTCAGAAATGTGTTCGCATCTTGATTTTTAAGATCAA